GAGCCGCATCGGAGCACAGAGAGGCTGGGCAGGAGTGACGCAGATGGAGTGGTGTGGACTGAGCACAGTGCCCATTGCATATTCCCATGTGCTGCCTGGGGGAGGAGATAAAAGGGGGTGGCTGGGGGGAGGATGGTTTGAGTTTGGTTTTGGTTCCCACAGTTTTGTTCTGTTATTAATTGGCAATAAATTATATCAACCTCCCTACACTGAATGTTTGGCCTGTGATGGTAAATGCGTGTCTTCCTGTCTTTATTTCAACCTATTTGCCTGTTCTTCATTGTATTATTTCCCCTGGCTCTTTTGAGAAGTGAGAGAGCAGGGTGGTGGAGCTGAGCTTGCCATCTGTGTGAAACACCACAGCCAGTAATGTAAAAGCCTTGTCATTTCCTTATTCAGCTATTGGAATGCCTAACAAAGTTGCAGAGTAACTCTTGAGATTTTAATGAGGAGAGTCTAGTGATCAAATAAAAAATATTCCTGAATCTAAATCACTGAATAAAACTGCTGGTGGTCTGAGAGCTTGAATCCTGTTTGTTTGTTGTATGTAGCCTACTACTGTCTTGGAAAGCATGTAAAATAACTTGTGGTATGGTTATCCAAGGAGCAGATAGCAGTGCTGCCAGCCAGGTGGAGAAAAATGGGTGAAGGAAGTGATGAAACCTTACTAAAGGTTCTGCTCTTTCAAGTCTTCTTGCAAACAGCTTGTTGCAATTTGCATGCATGCCACTGAGACTGGTTCCTTCCTTCCTTTTGTTTTAGCTGCTTTTCTCATCTCAGCTGTGTGCTTTGTTTCATTTGTGGTGATTTTACTGATGTTGGCCCTACAGAGCAGTGAGTTGTTATCTTGCTTAGCCATAGTTTGAGAAGTGTGGTTAATGGACAAATAATTCTGAAGCATCATGAAGTGCTGGGAGGTATTCCACCCTTGACAATAACTGTTTGTAGACCTACGTTTTGTTGCCTTTATGCATAAGTTAGCCCAGTCACACAGTATTTTTATTACTTAAGATCCTCTAAAGAGATTTAAGATATTATGAAAAGACAGTAAATAATATTTATTATGCAGTTGTGCCACAGGTGAAAGAACAAGCTGTGGATATAATCACTGCACAAAGAGCAGAGCTTTCATACTTGTCATAGTGTTGAGAAGGAAGATTTTTTTGCTGGAGATATTTTTTTGGGCCTTTATTTTTTGTGCCAACAGCTTCATGCAATGCTAGATACTTCACCACAACACATCTTAAACTTCAGCTAGTGTATTTTGAGTACTGAGTTTGTCCAGTTCTCACCTTCGTATTATGAATATTTTTTCATGAAATGCATTTCTTCCTTCTTTCCCCAGTATCTGACAAATCCTCATTAGTCATATAATGTAATTTAGAACTGTAATTCTGATTTGCCAAGGTCCTGAGTTCTTGCAGCAATTCAGTTTCCAGTAATAGGACCCTTTTGCATTGAAACAATCACCTGCAATGCTATTTTTTTCTTAAGTTTCATATAAAAATTGACTGCATATGTTTATGGCCTTGTATATTGGCGCTCTGAGTTAAAACTTGGACAGATGAATTAACATAAACTTCTTCTGTGTCTTATGAGGAAACTGATGGAAAGCAGGAAGGCTTAGTGGGGCAGTGGCTGATCTCTTGTACATTTTTCCCTGTTTCCTCAGCCTGCCCTGTCAGTTAGTGCATCCAGTTTGTTGTCAAGGTTTCATATAGCGGTTCAAGAAGCAGAAAAAAGGATCATAGCAGGGAATGAATTTAAACCTTTGGGGAACTGTAGTATTGCAGACACTCAAGAAGCAGGAACAGTTCCAGTGGGATGAGGGTGAAGTCTTCCACGCAGAAGGAGATCATAATGCACAGGGAGGGCGGCGTATAGGGCAGGCCTTGCTGAAAAGCATTTCAGAGGCATGCAAAACAAAACAAAACAAAAACCAAAAAAAAAAACAAAAACAAAAAAACCCTACTGGCTCTACAATTGGACAGTGCTTCAGCACTGCCGCATTCTTACCATTCTTTTCCTTTTCGAACAGTGAGTTCTGCTTTTTCTTAGTGGCTTTTTGTGGAATGGTCTGAGAGTGGACTCACAGTTTAACACTGACATAATTTTTTAAATTTTATGTATTTGGGGTGGGAAGAGGAGAAATATGTTGTTTTAATGTGCCTGAAGGATATGAAAAAGATATCATACTTTTTTTTTGTTGAAGAGCTGAATAAAAGCTGCTAAAAAAATCTCAGTTGAAATGTATTTGTCTGCAAAGGAAAGGAATACAACACATAGTATTTCTTATAAAGTTACGTATGTAGAGGAACAAGCTGTATAACTAATGGTAATTTTTCTCTGATCTGTTTCATCTAATAAAAAGCACGGTTGTCTTCAGTGGTGGTCTTGCATGCATGAGTGTGGAATAAGTAGTTCACATGGGTAACCTGACTCACTCTGGCCCTTACTGGCAGTTTTGATCTTTCCTTCTTTATAAAGTATGAATGATGATGAAATTAGTTAGATTGTACCTTGTTTTTCTGTCACTTGAAAATAGCATAAGCAAACTCCCTTCCTGCCTTGATGCAGTAGTATTTGTTACTTGCACTATTATTTAGTCAAGGAGGTGCTTCATACATCAATATGCAAAATAAAGACATTGGATTCCTTTGCAGTATGAGTAAAGACCTTAATTGTCAGTATTGTTTATTTGGAAATATCATTTTGCTTTGGCTGTACTTGAAAAAAGCAGAGTAGAGCTTTTAGGTGATTTTTTTGTTGTTTGTTTGGCTGTTGTGCAGCAGACAGCAATTAAAGCTTTGATAATTTAAAGGGATAATATGCAAAATTTGGAAGTTTTCTTGTTTGTGCTTGAAAGTTTTAATGTTGTTTCATCTTGAACTTCAAGCATAAGCATTGTTGATGCCATTGCAAACTTTTTCATGAGAGAGAAATCATCGTTTCCTGTCTGAAGTGTTTCTGAATTGTCACAGTATTGCTTGATATTCCTTTGATAGTATTACCATAATTCAGAGATTCTAGGTAAACAGAAGTTTCTGGCAAAATAGCAATTTATTTTATATCCTGTTATGTGGTTTTCCATGTTTTCCTTTTTTTCTTTTTCCCTTGGGTTCTTTTTTTTTTCTTTTTTTTTTTTTTTTTTTTGAGTGTATAGTTCATCTATTATGGTACCCAGATTCTATGGTAAGAGAGGCATTTTTTCACAGTGTTTCAGACCCAGCTATAAGAAAATCTGTTTTATCTAGGGCATTGAAATCACTTTTGTCTGTTATGTATGCCACACTGTCATTTGTTTTGTTTTTGTACCACGTGCACCATAATTTTTCACAGATGGCAGTTTAGTTGCTCAGTGGACAGACTCTGAGAGCTCATCTTTTTTTGTCCTTTCACGAACACCGCTGTTGCCTTTCCTAATCAAGCACTAGGTTTTGTTTCTTCTTGGGCAAATGGGAGAAAGGAACATTCACTTGAGGTGCTTGTTCTCAAAATTTTAAATGGTGGTATTGCTAGAGTGCTTATTTGACATTACCAAGTAACTGAGAATCTGGACATTGATATTTGAGAGCTTTTTCCACCAAAAAAAGAACCGACATGATTTTTTGTTATGCGAATTGTAAGATGCATACCTAGAGGATGTTTACTGGGAAATGGCTTACGCTAACATTAGTATTTTGGATTCCAGTAAAGCAGGAAAATTGTACATTATGTTCAGAAAAAAACAGTAGATCTTATCTGATATTTATGTAGCCTGCAGTTGCAAGCTGTCTTGCAGGCTTTCTTATCTCCAGTGCATACAAGTAATGATTCCTACTAAGAAGGCTAGTCTTCCCTGGAAGGAGAATAACAGCAGAGGGAAGTAGGCAAATATTCTCTATATGTCACGTAGTCAAAAATATTTTAGGAAAACTCATCCACATCCCTTAAAACCGATGTTCATTATATTGTAAATGATTGATACCTTAGACCAGTTGTAAAGACTTTGCTGAAGCAGAAGGCTCTTTTCTACATCAAAAGAGAAATGAAAAAGAGAGCTCTCCCCTGTGTTTTTGTGCTTTGCTGTTGTGGTAGTGGGGGAAGGGTGGCAGATAGCCTGGAGGCTGTAAGCATGAAAATGGAGTAAAAGAATAGAAGCAATACAGAAATTGCATGTATTGACTTTTTTTGTTGTTGTTGTTATATTTTTAAAAGAAATTATTCTTACTCCTGCATAATTCTTTTCTTCGAAGATGTTACATGGCATCCTCAGAAAATTAGGTTTGCGTCAGTGTTTTCAGAGCACAGTCTACAGAGGGAAAATTGTGACCTAGCTCATTTCTTAGGTGTAGTAGTTCTCTCATCGAACTGCTCTGTCACATGGACCTTGCTATTCTTCTTCTACAGCTCTGTGTAACAACACTTATGTATGTTAGTTTCCATCTGAGGACCAGAGCTGTCACGATATGGACTCGTAATTAATGTCTGTCACTTTGTTAACTAAGCACACCAAAATAACTAGAACACTGGTACTACATAGATCTGCTGGGGTTTAGCAGCATTATGCTTTGCTCCTGAGTCTAATGTTAGAGAACAGCTAACTCTTAGGATTGTGGGAAACTTGTGAAAGTTTTGTGTAATTAGTGTTAACTTCTAATACCAAAATTTCTTTTATATGTTCACTGGGAGGGGTGTACCTAAACATATTTGAAGGTATGCTCCAGAAATATTGAAGAGGGAGGAGTTCCAAATAAAATGCTGTGAAAATTTTTTTTTTGGCAAATGTGCTGTAATAATTTGTGGTTAAACTTACAGTGTTTGTACTTTCAAACACAAAGATACTAAGCTATGACAGAGGTTAATATCTTATTTTGCTGTTGAATTTAAGCTTATTTCTTAGCTCCTGCAAGAAATGTGTTGGTTTTACTCTGTTCCATTTGCTAGTAGGTAGCTTTTTTATGTTTAAAAATTGATTGACATTGAAATGAAAGTATGTAACCTTTTTCATTCTCTTCCAGATCCAGACATTTAATGTTGAGGCACCATGCCAGACTGTGGAAGATTTAACGAGTGGGGTTGTGATGGCCCAGGTTCTTCAAAAAATGTAAGAAATTATTTAATTATTTACATGCATACAGATTTATTATTTATGAATGTGTCTGATTTAAATGTATTTTGATTCAGACTTGGCTGGTATTTTGTAAAGGCATGACTAATCCTTCGTTTAGACAGTACTTTAACCTGGGACGTGACAAATATACTTATCAATAGCTTTCAAATAACTATCTTAAGGGCCAAAAAAAGAGAAGTATTGCTTTAGGAAGCTGTGAAGGCATTTATTCAAGTGTAATCTTACTGAAAAATGAATTGGGTTATAACTGTGGTCCCAAGTTACTGGTAATGTTATAGTTAGTTTCACATGATAAAATTCAGTGATAAATTGAAGTAAGCTGTTGGTTTGATTGTATGCAGAGGTAATACATTCTTGAGAGTAAATGGGGGAATAGTAGATGTTGCACAAGGTAATGGTTTTTGTTTCTTTGAACTCTAAGGTAAAATAGGTTTGAAATGCATTAATTCAAAGCCTCAGTCTAATCGAGAATGGAGACTGTGAGTAATCATCTGAGGTGTAGCTGGATGTGTAGTGGTAATACAGTATTACCTATTTTCACAGAAACACAACTTCTTCAAACTTGGCTCTAGCAGCAAAATCTTGCTAATATTAATGAAATTGTAATCAAACAGATGGAAGAGGAAAAATACTTAGTTGAGAATCAGAAAATGTTTAAACATATGAAACAAGTGTAGAACAGGCTTTTCCAGCATACCCTTCTCTCTGTATTACCAGTACTGCTTCCTTCTCTATCACAAGAAAAATTACTACATGGAAGAACAATTTTTCAGGTGTAGAAGTAAGAGCAAGACAGCTGGTTCACAGAGATCATTTGGAGAAATCTTGCACTGAAGTTGAAGAGGAGCAAACTGGGCCGTGTCATTGGAAACAGATGTCATTTTCAGTGAACACTTGAAAACTTAACCTTCAATATGAAAATCCCCCATTAAGATAATTGTGAAAAGACAAACTTATTGTCTAGATAATGAGACACTAAACTCTTAAACTCTGTCATTCTTACTCCATTGAGAATAGTAGACTATCGTTCTTAAAAAGCATGTTCCTTGAAGTTTGGCTATCCTTCAGAATGGCTGCCCCTTATTTAGAGTTCTCCAGTAATGCATAAAAATAAAGGGAAATAGGGAGAATTTTAACAATTTTTAGTGCTTCTATAAAAATTAATTCATCTTTAAAAAATGGTTGAGAATTCCTCCTCAGAGTTATCTGTGAGTGAATCAGAGAATGATAGGATCAACATGGTTGGAAAAGAGCTCTAGTCCAACTGTCCATCTATTACCAGTATTTCCTACTAAGCCATGTCCCTCAGTACAAAATTTAAATGTTTCTTAACATCTCCAGGCCCGACCACTCTTTCTGAGAAGTTTTTCCTAGCGTCCATCCTGAATCTCCCCTGGCACAACTTTAGGCCTTTTGTATTGCAAGTTGCATGGAAGAAGAAACTGACTCCCACTTCACCACAGCTTCCCTTCAGGCAGTTGTAGAGAGCAGTAACGTCTCCTGAGCCTCCTCCAAACTGAACAATCCCAGCTCCCTTAGCTTCTTCTCATAAGGTTTGTTCTTCAGACCTCTCACAGCTTCATTGCCCTTCTGTGAACACACTCCAGCTCCTCAATGTCTTTCTTGTAGTGAGGGGCCCAAAATTGAACACAGTATTGAAGGTATGCCTTCACCAGAGCTGAGTACAGGGGCTGATCACTTCCATTCTCCTGCTGGCAACGCTGTTTCTGATACAAACCAGGATGCTGGCAGCATTCTTGACCACCCAAGCACATTGCTGGAGCACTCATATTCAGCCAAGCTTGACTAATACTGCCAGGTCTGTTTGCTCTACGCAGTATTCCAGCCGTCTGCCACAAGCTCATAGCATTGTCTGGGGTAGTTGTTGCCAAAGTGCAGGACCCGGCGCTTGGTAAGCAAATGCAATCATTGAAGAACTCAAATTGAATGAGGTGGAGTTGTAATGAAAACTGAAAGGTGTTGGCCTTATCTGGTTGTCTGGATATACTTCCATAGGAGAGTAAGGATAGCTTTGTTCTTGAAATTTTTAAGATTTACTCAAAAACTTTAAGATTTGAGTGCCTAAACTCTCTATTGGTTTTGTTTTGTTTTTTTAACCTGCGCTTTCATGGAAAGAGTGTCCATTGATACTTACAAGGACAGGCAATAGTTCAAACAAGTTGAAGTTAACACTAGTTTATGTTGAGGTTGTTTCAGAGAATAAAAAAAAAATAACAAACCATGCCTTGTATCAGCTGTTGAGAAGGGGGCTTGATGTATGTTTTTCCTCAATACTGTTACCAAGGTAGTAGCCTGTGTTTGTAAGGAGAGACCATTCTGCAGAGATGTCAGTTCATATAGCAGAATTTTCTGCATAAAATTGCTCTAAGAGGCTGCATGAAGAAGAGGGAATTACACCTTCAGAAGCTATTCAGGAGCGTAGTGTGCAATATCATGTGGCAGAACTGTGATTTATGTAAGCAAGCATGAGTGTTTTACTTACAGATTTTGATGTTAATAAACAGATCTTGGTGAAAACAGTGAAAGATACCTTCTCTGTTTTTATCATAAAACCTTTATGTTTGAATTTCACGCTAAAGTGTGAATGAAAGGAATTCTCAAGTACTAATGGAAAAGAATTCATCTGTTTCCTACTGTCCGTTGATATCCCCAGAAAAGCAAAATTTTTCTCTTATCCCATTCTGGAAACTGTTCAGTGTTCCTCTTCTTTTAGTATTTTGATTGTAGTCTGTGCATTGTAGCCTCTTACTGAATTATTCATTTGTGATATTACACATTGCAGCATACTGTGTATGTTTTGACACATGTGAAATACAAAAGCCATGATTTTATGTGTTCTTTCTAGAGGGATCTTTTTAGTAAACAGATATTTCTTAAAGCAGCTTGCCGCACCACTGTTAAAATGAGTAATAATCAGGTGTTATGCTCAGTGGGCTGGTTTTCTTTTCTTTCAAAGATTATTTCTGTCTCTTGGCATCTATGATTTGGAGAGATGGTTGCTTAAATAAAAGAAAATTTGCATACAAAAAAAGTTGGATGTGGTAGAGCACTGCTACAAGTGGCATCACATGAAGTGATAACATTGTTGACAACAGCATAAGTATCTTCTGCTGTAAAGAAAAGTCCCAATTACCTGCAGTGCTATTGAGATGCTAGGCAGCAATCAATTGATATACAAATGTTTTTATAAATTTGGTAAGTTATCTAGTGCAGTAGATTCCCCAATTTTGGATATACGTTCAAGAACCTTCTCTGTTCAAAGTGCTGAGTACAAGCACATATTCTCAAAGTAACAGGGGTGCTCCAGTGAGTTTTCTGCTTCCTTGTTTAGTGCAGTCTATCTTCACACACAACTGGTAGACTTCCTTATCTTGGCTGCTCAGTTCTCTGCTATAAATTTCTGTCTTTGCTTGGGTGATGTTTTTTCAAACATTGCTGTAAGAAATGATAGCATCTTTCCTTATGTCGTGACAAAGGGAGCTCAAGAGCTCTGAGTATGATTGACTAATGATTACCAAAGCTTCAGCAGAGGGAGACTTGTTTGCAACAGAAGTGGTGAACGAGTTAGCAAAGCTTTGGGAAGAGTGTCTGGAAACCCTTTTATAGAAATGTATTTCTAGAAATTTTAATGGAAAACTTTTGGGTTACAGATGGTTAATTTTATTGGTTCATTATGGAGAAAAGTGCTGCTGTTAATGTTGATTCTGAACCTTAACAGGAATTCTGAGGGCAGAACTAAAATTATAAAAACACACGTGGAAAAATTCTGAGGTGGTGTATACATGAGGAAAGCGGTGATCATTCTAAATTTGCTTGATTGTTGATGCCAACCTGGCAAAATGTTTTTGTAGTATGCTTCTGATTATTGTGTAACATGGATTAAAATGAAAGGAGTTGGTGACACTGTTGTTATTGCTGTTGTGATTTAGAGTGGATTGCTTACCTGGTTCTGGATTTTGGGTTCTCCATGAGATTTATATACGTTAAAATTAAAAACCAACAACATTTGTGGAAAACGGCTACCACACTTACTTTAGATGTAATTGCCAGGGATTTTCAAGTTTGTCTTATGATACAAGAGTGTAGGCAGCACAAAGCTTCATTAAGAAAGTAAGCACATTTGCATGGGTTACTTTAATTGCAGTAGTAACTGGCAATGTTTTTTCATTTGCTATTGATGTACAGATATCCAGAGCTGGAGGTGATCATGAAATATTGTGATTCTTCCTCTGTTATGTCCTTATTACTGAAGATGGGGTATGTAGCATTACCCTGTTAGTTACTCAGTAGGATTCTGCTTGCAGGCAATTCTTTATGCTTATAGGAGTAATTATTTGTTAAAATGGTGTATTCATGGCACTGTGGTGTTGAAGCAGTTGAAATCTGTGACCAACTAGAATTAATAAAATAATGAGATAGAGTCCTTAAGAAGGACCCAGTGGTCTTTTTTTTTTTTTCCTGGTGAGGCACAGATACCTGCTTTCTTACTGAGCTGGGTAAACATTTGCTTGCTGTGGGTCTCTGAGCACAGCCTGCTAGTGATTGGCAGAGTACTAATCCAAAATACACTAGAGTCCTTTTTGAACACCAGAGTTCCAGTTGAAGCAGGTCAAATAGGTCTGTGTGTTTTCAGCTCACAAGTTTTTTTCCAAATGATCTTTTTGTAACTGGAAAGTTAAGCAAATAAAGACCTTTTGCAAAGTGATACATTTATTTAATATAAAACATGAACATGAACTTTTCTCATCTCTGGTTGATCCAGTATGTATTGAATTAATTTCGTGCTTAGACTTACTGGTCTCTGAGGGCAGAGAGGCCATTCAAAAGCTATTTAGAAAATGTCTACTTCAAAACAGATGAAACTCTGAATAAGACGTTATTTTTTCTGTTTCATACTTTTAGGTTTTGTTGTCTGTGCTAGAACTGTACTGTTTTTGAATAGCAGCAATTTGGAGTCATTGATTTAACTAGTAATTCCTTTCTTCTAGCTATATATTTGCAGATGGTATGTCAGAGGGAAAGACATATGTCATGATCTTCACCAGAGTCTGTAAAAGAATGTAAAAATAGTAGTTGAAATGTGTCAGTAGAGAAATGTTGCTGTTTATGATTTCTCTCCTCTGGAGTATGTTGATGGAATACTTAAAGACCTTGGTACATTGTGAAGAAGACATTGTGCAGAAAATGGAATACAGAAGAGGTGATGAATCAGGAGCAAGATATGTCTTCAAAGACGGGGCCCTAATATAATCACTGGTACAGTTGCTGATCTGCTGCATGTATGATCACAGAGATGTTGCTTGAATCTCCAGCCTTGCCGGTTTTTGAGCTTCTGTCTCATGCCGTCTTGTCCCTAAAAAGAAAAAATAAAAAAGGAAGGGTTCAGTGTAGAACCCTTTTATCTTCGGAGGATACAGCTGTAAATCTAATAGTACTTCGGAGCATATGCAGCACTGTATTTCCAGAAACTGGAATATTTGCTGTGAAAGTCTAATCTTGCTTACCACACTGACTCTTAAAAGCCTTTCTTAAAAAAAAAAAAAAAAAAAAAAAAAAAAAAAAAAAAAAAGTTTTCTTTCCTGACTGCTTCATTTTTGTTTTGTCTGAAACATGAGTCTTTCCTTACCAGGAGCAGGAGAGCCCTATGAATTGCCTTGAATGTATGCACAGAGCATATTGTTCGTTCTCAGGCTATCTATTTAGAAGGAAAGTATTTACAATCAGAATATAGCTGTAGGAATCTGTAATAAGTGAGAAGTATTTTTGTACGCTTCGAAACAATGCAAACAAGCACTACTCCACTGCCAGCTGAGAAAAAAGAGGAAGAACTTCCAGGCAGGGAGATCTGACAAAATACACTCCAAGACCAGCAGCTTCTTCCAAAGCATGACCTACTCATGGCACACAAATGGAGCTGTGATGCGGAGTAGTAGGGGTGGTCTGTGCTGTAGTGTATAGGTCATGTATAGAATGCAGAGGTAGGCAGGCATTTAAGTAACCTTGGTGTGAGATAGGGGCTTAATTGCTGAGGTATCTTCCTAGTTTCTGGAACCTGTTTTTAACATATACTCTACTTTTTGTATTTCAGAGATCCAGTGTACTTTGATGAAAACTGGTTAAACAGGATCAAAACAGAAGTAGGAGATAATTGGAGGTTAAAGGTATTTTACTTATTTTGCTTCTCAAATCTGTATTTTAGTTCTTAGTACAGTATTGTGTTTTAATAAAAACATTTTTTTTTTTAGATGTTGCTTCATCGTATGTTGAATGTATGTTGAATGTGTATGGCTTTTTTTACTTATTTTTTACATTGATGTAGCTTTGCACAGTTGAGTGAAGAGAATATTTCAAATTTGTAAGTTTGTTTCAATAATGTAAAAGAAAAAATATTAATATTAATTAAATATTAATAATATTAAACTTCATGCTTAAATTAATATTTGAAAAACACAGAAATATGAAAGTTTTTTTCTTACTATTAAGTGTGAAAGTAACTTTTTTTTTTTAAAAAAAGAAAAAATGCTTTGAGAAACAACGGCAGAAAATAGCAGACGAGTAACCAATTGATTTAAATAAAAATGGCAAAATGTTATTTCATTTTACTTTGGCAGCTTTGCACAGCAGCTGAGTTTTACAAGAGGAGGTGATACTTGTGTGTGTGTTTTATTTGTAGTCATTTTGCTTTCTAACCACAGCCTATTTGCTGTCATTTGTATTACTTGGTGTTTGAGTACTTTCTCTTACAGTCAACAGAATTTATACTGGTGGAGCTTTGGAGTGTTTCGTATAAAACCTGAAAAACATAGTTTTTATGTGTGGATATTAGTCTTGTTTCTGGCTGCTTTTGTCCATGGAATAATACATGCTCCTTTCTGAGTTGCCATTTCTAGCCTGATTTCTTTCTGATTTTTTTTTTTTTTTCCTGTTAGATGGAGTTTGCCATAAACACTTTTTTTTTCCTGTGCTCTCAAGAGCCTTTCCCATCTGGGAAAGGGCTGCAACTGTGAAATGCTCTAGTGCTTACAGGCTTATCAACATTGTTGGGCTGAACAGAGGAGAGAGGCACAGGAAAGAGCTGCCTGAGGAAGATGAAGAGTATTGCTGCATGTGTGTTGTCAGTAAACTTGTCAGTGCAGTTCCTTCTGCCTGGCCAGTAATTTGCATGTCTGGACTCTAGAATGGTTTGTCTAACAGGGCTGCCAGCAAAAATATGGAACATATTTGATGAGGATATAGTGGTAGTAGACTGGTAGAATAAAATACATGGGTCCAAAAAAAAAAAAAAAAAAAAGAAGAAGCTGTATTTGTTCTATGCTTATTACAGCAATTCATTTAAGTTAGCTTTTCAAAGAAGTGTGAGGAACTGCAAGTGAAAATCTGATAACAAGTTTTAACTTTTCCCTAACGTCATTTTGTGGAATATTAAAACCTTGGCTGTGAAGTCTGGAGAAAAACGATCTGAGAACTATCACTATAGTAGCATTTCAGTTGATTTAAAATAGTGCAGCTTTTGTAACTCTTCGAGGGAGCTTGAGAATGATTTTTTCTTAATCATCTACTAATGTAGCAGGTTTTAAATCTTAGCAGGTGTGAATATAACAGAAAGACCAGGCAATCATTCAATCAAACTTCATTGTGTGACTGAAATCCGCATAAACATAATCTCAAATTTATGTTCATTGCTGATATCATTCCTTCTTGTTATTCATATTTCCATGTAAATAAGAACCGAAGACTGATTATGCTTCTTGATTCAAATAAGAGTATACTGCAGCTTTTTGCACATTTTTTCATACTCCATTTCCCCAACCATGAATAATATTAAATGTTATGAGTATTGTTTTAACTCTCAATTTTTAACCATAAAAGTAATGCCATACTTTGTCAGCTGTTCTTCTTTATGTGTATGTAAGCAGTAGGTTAGTTCTTCAACTGTTCATGTGTCAGTTGCTCATAACCTTGCTCGCAGGAGCTTTTTCTAATCTGTAAACTTCTGTTGGTTTGTCACTAGTTTTTAAATGCAGGCATCGTGTTTTTGTGTGCCTCCTTAATATTTTAAGAAGCACGTGAAAAATGTTTATTGGGTTAACTCAGTACCTCGCAAATGGGGATAATGAGACAAGGTATATCCTTACTGCTAAGCGTGGTTGTTCTCTGTTTCCAAAACTGCATGGTATAACAGTCAACAGTATTATGCTCTTGGTATTATGAAGTGTATAAAGGAGCCAGTCCAGTAAAGGAAATAGGCTTAAAACAAAATGTGTGTGTAATTGTACATTATAAAACAGTGATAAGGTGGGCTGTATCATCCTGCATAAGGCCCTCCTATCCACTTTGAATAGAGGCATTAAGGAAATGATGTCATCTCTTAACTCTCAGATGGATGTCCATCTATGCAAAATGTTAGAACTCTGGGGGCTTGCAAAGGAGGAAGCAGTCAGCTAGCAGTCTGTATATTATAGCTGACCGGATCTCTCTATCTAATGTGTTTAGAAAGAAGCACCTTGTCCAATACTTGGGATTAAAATTTCTGGGGCACAGCATGCATCAGTGTAGTTCTGCAGTTTGTTTTTTCTTTTGTGTAACAAAAAACCCTTCCTGCATAAAACTGCAGTTTTATGTTGTGGTTTAAGAAAACAAAAAAGTATAAACAACAACAACAAAAAAAAATATATAAAATATATATCTCTTTCCTGATATGTATCAAGAAAAGCTGAATGCTTTAGTATGGCTGGAGTTGAAACTGTGTACAGATTAGTATTTCATGCTGAAGAGGATAACATTTTGAAGACAAAACAGTATTCACTGGAACTACAAAACGGCATAGAAAATAGATCTGTTGCAAAAAAAAAAATTGCAGGAATGAAGAACCAAGAATAGTTCTGTTTCAAATAGTACAGAAATATCAGTAACAGAACAGAAATTTTAACCAGTAAGTGTTTCATACACACGTGTCAGTTATTGATTTTTTTTTTTTTCTTTTTTGGTAATTACTGAATATACTATTTAACTGAATTGTAGGAAAACCACCCCCTTTCCATTCCCTGTGGGCCGTGCATGCCTTGGAATAAGCAGGAAATACTTTGTTGTTGCATGATCCCTGACTTTGTTTTCCAGTCTTTTCTTTAAGCATTCAGACTGCAGCATCAGTTTAAAATACAATTTTATCCATATTTCCAGCAGTAACTGAATTTGTTTGACTTCTGAATAGCACGTTCAAATGATTTGCTAGATTTTCTGCAGTGAGTACAGTTTGAATGCTTTGTATTCAATAGAATATTGCAAAATAGAATCATCAGTGAAATTGGAGTGCTGGGTCTGTAGTTGGATTAGTATATAATCCAACTAACCTGATGTACAAGGTTTATCTTTGACTCCCTGCAGTAGTAGAATTATAGTTGTATTGAATTATTCCACAATACAAGCTAGGACAACCGGTATAGTTATGGAAGCTAGTTTTCTGTGTACAGTTGTCCTGATACTTTTCATGTTCTCTGTAAGAAAGGGAGCACTTCGTGAGCAGCCTTTTGAGTTTTTTATTGCTTCTATTTTTTTTTTTCTGATAAAGATAGAATGTGCTGTCATGTGCTTCTGCATGAAAAGAGTGGGGATTATAGATGTACTTACAAGACAGATTTTATTTCTGTGAAAAAGATAATAAGCAGCAGATATATTTTTCTCTGTTCTTTCTTTCTATTTTTTTTTCCTCCCCCCTTAACTCCAAGGATGTTCTTGTATCTGTTCTTGCTATTTCTTTTCTCACAACACGCAGGAGGAGGATAACCCATGCAGCTAATGGCACAGTCTCTCTCTGGGCCCCACTTATAACAGAGAAGAGACGGAATGCATTTTAAGGCAGAAACCTAACGTGGTAGAAAGTATGCATACACTTTTTTTTTTTTATATGCAGCCAGGGAGTTTAGTCAGATTTCTGTAGCTGAATGATTAAGAATTCTCTTACCACTGTAAGTCTGCCCTAGGAACACTTCCAGAGGTTATAGGTTGTTTATTATAATCTATGTAAGGGGAAATTCCTCTGTGCATAATTATCTGGGAGAGATACTGTAGAACAGCATCTCAGTACACTGGAGTTCCCATTTAGACACTTCGTACAGAAATGTACAAGGATAAATTAATTTACATGGAATCTTCACTACAAACAGAATTTCAGACATACGTATGGAAAAAAGGATAAATACAAACTTAGGAACAAGCTGTCAAATACTAGAGAGTAAACGGGAGGTTAAATAACTCCTGACTACTTTTTGTCAGTAATCACAGGCTGAACAGCATTTCCACTGTCCTTACATTAGGATTTTCTTGGTCAGTTGTACTCCTAAGGAGAGAAATCTAGGCATATTATGCTTACAGACCTTCAATTTGGAATCAGTGTGTAAGTTGGAGATCAGTAAAAATAATAATTTCATATGACAGGTGAGAAGAAAACCATTTCCACCATTACCCACCTCACAACCTTATGCCTTGCAGTGTCAGATTGTATGTTTTCTTTAGTAACCTTGAGGGAAAGCATACCTGCTTTCATTCTAGTCAGTTTATCAGGTTAATACTGCAGAGTAAGGGTTGGTCTTGTGTAGCGTGTAATAACTATGTAATACTATACAATAGCCAACATGGCTGTAACTGACTGGTCAGTGATCATTTAACAACAGGCATGTCAGCACAAATCTGCAGTGGATATTAGTGAAATTGGTTAGGTTGCTGATGGAACCAAATAGGGATCCCATGTGCTTGTGAGCTGATCTCCAAAGGATTGTAAAACAGATTATAGTGACGATCTGTATTGGAAATAGTTTCTGTTCTGCTATTGCATGATTTAATAGTCTATGTTAATGAGTTGTAGTTATTATTTTTTGTTCTTAAAAAAAAAAGAGGAAAAAAGAAAAACTTAAAAACCATCACTTGCTAGAATTCTAGAATTAATAATCTTTAATGCTTTCCTTTGCTTTTCTCTGTTGTTCATTTTCACTCATCTCTGTTTGAAATCTTTCTTGTGAGAGATTATGCTATGGCCTGGCAAGTGTTAAAGGATTGTCTGAGTTGAATCTCAAAACAGAAAGCGTTTGTGGTGGTTTGCTGTGATTCTCTGCCTCTGGCAGTAGGACCATCTAAATGCATTCACTGCAGACAAGTAAAACGAAATCAAAAGAGAGAACTCCCTTAGCAGTACTGAAGATCATTGTTAAGTTCAAGCCAGTCTATAAAGAAACTCCTTTAGCTTTATAATTGTCTGATTGTCTGCCTGATACAAAGATGATGTAGTTAACTCCTGAAAGCAAATTATCTTGATACTCTTGATTGACAGTGGAATAAAGTGGGACCTCAAAAACAATATTTTTTTTCATTTTGTTTTCTTTTTCTGAAGATGCTGTCATATACAGTAGTATTCATGACAAATTTTGATCAATACTGATTTTGTTACATCATCACAGAATTAAGCTCTATGAAAGTAATATGGAGGAAGATAACATGTCTTAAAGCATTAATTCAAACAAAGCTCACAGGAAAAGGGGAAGGCAAGTATTTTCTAGACTAGGACATTCCATTTTGTTTCTCATTTCTGGGATTATGTTCAAGTTCAAGGTTCCTCACAATGTTCTCTTCGGTAAACTGGACTTAAATTCTACAACATGGTCCTTGGGTTTCTGTGGCACTTTCTGCAGCAGACTCAGGTAAACTACGAACTAGAAGATTTTAATGAATCAAGTTTGAAAATTATTATTCCAATCAGTGCTGTATTCATTATGGTGATTTGACATAAAAATTAAATGATTTGTATTTAAAATCTTAAATCGGTTGTAAACTTTGGTTGTAATTGTTCGTAACCCTGGAGATATGGCGATGATTTCTTTGGTGCTGATAGATGCTTTGTGTTATTATGTGTAGCCTATTTCTTTCTCAAGTTTTCCGTAGAAAATACATTTTGTTTCAGTCATCTCATTTTGTCTAAGTGTTGAATGCTGAAGTGTTGAGTTTGTCCCTGGATTTCAGTATCATGCCTCCAAACTGTGTTCCATAGTGTTTTCTCTGATCTTTTGGAAGGTAGATTTAATCCACTGACAGAAGTTCTTTATTGGATATTTCCAGAATATATTCAAGAATATAGAAGTAAATGCAGTTGAGGTTTCATATGTTTTCATTTTTCTCCCTCCGTTACAGTCTCACAGTTTGACACTGTGGGTACTGTTGTCAGCAAGAGTAGTTTGTGAATCCTAATTCTTATGCTGCTCATGTCTAAGATAAGATGAATAGAATTGGATGTGATTATTCAGTTCTCTAGCCACCCTCTCATTTCCACTCAGTCTTTACAGAACCTGTTTGTAGACTTCCTATCACAGGAAATAATGCACTGCTTCTATTATCTGAATTTCTTGTTTATATAGTTGGACATTCTTGGAATATATACAAATTACTTTCAAAAAAATATATTGTTTTAAACATCACCTGTGAGATCAATTGTCAATCTTTATGGCTTTCTTCACAATCTCCAGCATTTGATCTAACTGGGTTTTTGCCAAAAAGAGAGCTGAAAGCCTTCAATACTGGAGAAGTGTAGCATAGATTCTGTACAGCAAGAGATATCTAACTGATGCCATTGGTTTTGAAGATGGAACAGAAGCTATCTTTATATGACACTGGAGGCATTGCTGAGAAATGTAAATTTTGCCTTGATACTGTAAAGCAGACATTTGATTGTAAGGAACTGCGTTGAAAGGAGAAATAAACACAAATTAAAGAACTGGGAGGAATAATTAATGAGAACATTAATAAATTAGGCTTACGTATGTTCTAAACAAAGGATGGTATTGAGCAGTAACTGATATTTGTTTGGAAGGAGAGATTTACCTCTATAGAAAGCAGGTCATGGAATACTTTAAGAAAAGAAAGAGGATTTTTTTCAATTTACAGAGAAAAATATATATATACTAAGATAACCAAGTATTCAAAAGAAGATTCATGTTTCAGAATCTAATCTAAAGACTGTCTAAGACTCAATGTTATTTTTCATAAACTTAAATATGTTATATATATATATTCATAAAGACTTGTGATCAGATGGCAGTCTGATCACAAGGGAATACTGCATAATTTCCTTAATTCTATCTTAAGATGTTTAAACAGAGTTTTATCATGCAGAGAGATGATTGTACAATTCTTTTGCATGATTGTTCTGTGATTGCGTCTTTTATGATTCTTTCTCTGTGATTTATTGCCTGCACTTATTGCATTTTCTTCTTCTTGACAAATAGGTAAGCAACCTGAAGAAAATTTTAAAAGGGATATTGGATTACAACCATGAGGTAAGAACAGTTCCATGTAATTTTTATGTTCTTTCTGTTACATATTTAATTCAGTTTGGTTAATGTAATCTATATTATGGATGCATTGAGTTCTGACTTTATCTTTCAAAATATCCGAGTTGGAAATCTTGTCATAAAATAGTGGATATCTTTGACTCTTCCAGTGTTGGTCTTTAAAAAGTACTTCTGATATTGCCTCTGTTTCAGATAGAAACTACCTCTTGCATTTTTTTTTTTCCTTGAGGAGAGAAAGGAAAGAACACTTCTAGCATCAGCTTACATTACAGTTGTTAATGAAATATTTTAATCTCGAGATAGTGGAGTCAGCCCATTGTGTTCTCTGTTAGCAAAGTCAGAATGAATTGCTCCTGAGAAGAAACAATAAAATATTTTTCAGTGGTGAATCTGCAGTCAAATTTTGCTTTTAGCTTTGGTGATATTTTGAAGCAAATTGTTCGATACAGACTGCAATGTAAAATCCCTAATTTATACATTAAGAAAAAAAAAAAAAGAAAAATCCACTGTTAGCTACTTGTGAATACTTTGCTGAGAAAGGTATTAGTTAAAAAACATAAGTCTTTAAAAATTAACAGATTTTAAGAGAGAAAAGTTAGGCTGATAAGTTCATATTCGGGCTCTAAATTAATTTTGAAAAATTGACTGTGTGATGAGATGACCTTGGCTGGCTGCCAGGTACCCACCAAGCTGCTCTTACTACTCCCCCTACCCAGAAGAGCAAGGGGAGAAAATACCATGGAAAAAAGCTCATAGTAGCTCATAGTTTGAGATAAGGAGAAGGAAATCGCTCAGCAATTACCATCACAGTCAAACAGGCTCAGCTTGGCTAAAATTAATGTCATTTATTACCAATTAATAACAGTGTCGAGCAGTGAAAACGAAGAGGAAACCAAAAGCAGTTTCCTCCTGTCTCCTCACTTCCTGGGCTCTGCTTCCGTCTCAGTTCTATGTTCCTTGCCCTAACAGGCATAGAGGCATAGGAGGTGGAGTCGTGGTCAGTCCATGATGATCTGCCCTGTCACATGCTTCTTCCTCCTCCTGCTTTTCATCTGCTTCTGCCTGGTGTGCCTCTCACACCATGTGGTCTCCTGTGAGCCACTGCTCTTCAAAATGTGCTACAACATGGGTCCATACCAGACAGTGCAGCTCTCAGGAAGTCAGGTGCTCACAGCAGATCATTTTGGAAAGAAAAAAAGAAGTTCTTTGTTACAGAAACTTAGTATTACTGTGTCAAAGTGATGTCAGGTTTTTTTTGGGTGATGGAAAGACAGGATGATTAAGTTCTTGAAAACTTTACTGCTTCAATAGGTCACCAACTTTTGACCTGATTTAGATTAAGTTCTCAAAGTAGGTTTGACACGTTTGAAGGTTTGACTAGATTTTTTTGTTTGCTTTCTTTCTGCTGATGCAGTGTTGGTAGTGATACTGGAGACAGTCTGGATTTTAAAATAAATCCTTTATGTCTTCATTAACCTGATTTACCTGATTTCCTCCTCTTATCAGGCACCTTCTCCACAGCATATGTGTGAATGTGAACATATCTGAATTTTGCCTGATGTAGTGAAAGATTTGAAAACACAATATGTAAATTTTTAGAATAAATAAAAAAATAATACCACAGCAAGCAGGACAGTCTTTCAATAGCTGTTATGCATTGCTCTCTTTGTCACTTACGGCATGGAAGAGCAAGAAGCCAAAGGTACTTATTTATGATTTGCATGCTTTGTGATGCCCAGTAATTTTGCTGCAGGGCTCTACTGCTCTCATCTTGAAAATTTCATTCTCTTTATAGAAGGTTTTTATACTTTTTTTGAATAAGTGGAGGAAGGAGCATTTTTTCCTCTTAAGATACTTATTTGAGATTTGGTTGTTATTTCATTATTATTGCAGTATAACTTATCTCGACTTTATTGCAAAATTCCCATGTTTCATTATGTTGTTTGCTGATACGCTTCTTCCCTGCAGCATTTCTCAAGAGCATTTATAGCATTAAGCATAAAGCAGTTATATTACTGTTAAATTTGGCATTGCATTTGAAAGAAATTCAGGGAATACAGATGAACACGTAAACACATACCAGCCTTGAATTGTTCAAATAATATTGTGTTTTATTATGTTATTGCAGTCTAAATACAATGGTAATATTTTTGTGTTTGATGTGTTCATGGAATTCTTGTTTTCTCACCAGTATGTAGGGTTTTTAGTTGTGCTGGTTCTCATGCTTTGAGAAAGCTGTTAAGAATAATAATTTTAAAAAATTAAAAAGAAAAATTAAAAAGAAGACCAGAAAAAACAAACAAGAACAAACCTAGCCATAGCAAATGCACAAGGCCTAGCCCTGGCAAACTTCTTAGTGGCTTGATTTCTTTGTATTCTTCATATAAATGTGTTAGGATTTTTTTTTTTTTTAATATATACCTTTACCTGCTTTTCTGTTTTGTTTTTTTTTTTGTTTCTTGAATGTTGAAGTCAGAATGAGCATTCAGCAAACAAGAGACTGATCCCCTCCACAGTCATTGTTTCTTTATTTCTCCCTGCTTAAGAAATGACAGTTTCTTTTTATCTGCAATTAATGTGTCAGAGATGCATTTAATTCCACATTTCATATTCATATTTTCAGCTCCCTGAAAGCTCTTTGAAATCCAGCAGAATTATTTAATTCCTTCTACTGACAATCATTAATGTAAATCCTTCTTAATTATAAATCAAATTACATTAATTATAAGTCACATGTTTTCTTTCTTATGTTTTTCAGGATGGTTTTTTTTTTTTGTATTTCTGTGTGTGGGCTGTTTAATTATATGTTGTACTGCTACCTCAAATTCTTTTCCATTAAACCAGCCTTTTCAGCTCTAGGACTTGCTAAATATGGTTGAATTTACTGGAAGTGTGGGACTGAGTGATCAAGTGTTTTATAGTCTCATATTTGTCATCCATCAGTGCTAGATACAGTTTGGATAAGTGAAACGTTTTAATTTCAGCTTTCCAGTGGAAAACTTGAGACTTGTGTGAAGCGTTTCATGCTAGCTAAAAAGCTAGGTGTAATGGTGGATCATCTTTTGAGACTGCCTTTGTTACTTTCTTATCCAGAATAAACAAATCTTACTAAGTTTATAATTAGTAGTTTATTATTAGTTGGCACAGGTCTGTGTTCTGCCAAATATTAGTAGTATCAAAGATTACAGATGTTTTAATACTCAAAGGTCTGTTATATAAGCTGGCATTACTCAATTTAGTTTGTTTTAAGGGTGGATTGAAAACTACACTGAAGTGAAAAGAGAGCACTTCCTGTTGATTCTGAGTCATCTTTGTATGTTGAAGTTTATGCATATGTATTTCTATTGATACAGACATGTGTACTGGGTCTTTATACAGATTCTAGGGCAACAGATAAATGACTTCACCCTTCCTGATGTTAACCTGATTGGAGAGCATGCCGATGCTGCAGAGCTTGGAAGAATGCTTCAGCTTATTCTGGGATGCGCTGTGAATTGTGAACAGAAGCAAGGTATTGAGGTTTGAAAATGTTCAAAAACTCCCAGATCACTGAAAAACCAGCTCATTGTGTAATCGCTTAGGGGAAAACGATATTTCTTAGGCTGCCATTAGAGACAAATTAATATTGTCAAAGATAACATTATTTTTTTCTTTCAGATAACCCCTGTTTTGAGTTTTGCTGGCTTTGCATTCTCAAACTGTGGAGCAGGTTTTGCTCCGCACATACACATTTTCAAGTTTTATTTGTTAAGCTGAAAAGGAATTCCAAAACTGCAAATTCTTGGTCCATCGTTGAAAGACAATTCTGATTCTCTTGTCTCTTATGTTACCAGCTGTCTATCTCATCTGCACAGTTAAAACGGGGACCCATTCACTTTACTGCAGATGCTGCAGAGGAAGTGGTGGACTGTGCTGGGAGTAGTTATTGCCTCAAGTCTTTGCTCTAAACTTGCCATATGCTTTGGTGCATTGTGTATTTGTTGTCCAGCTACCCTAAATTACACTTAATTTAAGCCAGCGTAAGATAACAAAGAAACTACAGTTTATTCCTAATGCTTAAAATGAGAAACACAGAAACACGTGTATAAAATAGGTGGATAAATAAAATTATGTTTAAGTATTTATGTCAAGGTTGCAGAAGAATTTGCCTTTTTGTGATTTAAGTCATTGCAATTTCCTTTCTGCCAAAATGGCAGGTAGGCTTTCAGACCCCTTTGTCTTTTTGTCTGGTGGTGCATCTTAGATTTCCAAACTGGTGTACCTGTTTCAGTTTTCTGAGGTGTCTAAATCACTTTACTCTCTAATCTGAAATTGTTTTTATTGTTCTTTTGATAAGGAGACAGTCTGGCTTTCTTATTAATTAGAGTAGAGTAATTTTCTTCAACAAATATATAAATCTGTTGTATTAGGCCCACTGTCCTTTCTGTCTTAATGTTCTTCCTTTTAGTGATTATTTGGCACACTTGAGTGAGATGTTTTATTACTGAATTCTTTTGCTCCCTGAGACTGAACATTAGAAACATAGTATATAAAAATATCTGAGCAGTCTAGTTATATGTATTTTGTGTGAGGTTTGGCATTATGTAATTGATCACTTTGAGATACTGATCCCCAATATCTCCCACTTCAGCGGATCATTAAAGAATGTTTTTTGAAGAAGAATGTGTTATGTATAGATTATCATGTCTGATTGGAAGCAGTATCATACTGGGCAAGTCATAAATTCCTTGACTTGGTCTAAACATCAGATGTCATTCTGCCACTGCCACATCTTGCAGAAGTACTTATCACATAGCTCACGTGAACTTATAGGGGCGGGATGGGGNNNGGGGGGAGAATTTATTTGTGATATAACAAATAAAAACACAAGCTAAGAATGGGTATGCAAATGACTTGAAATAAGGATGTAGAAAGGACACTAATTTTAATTTGCAGAAAAGGACAGTCTCTCTTCACATTGGGTACTTGTATAGCCTGAATCGTGTGAAATACGAGAAGGAAAAATGTGGATGATAATTACATAGTTTATTTCATTGACGCAGTGTTCCAGTGAGCCTGGGCTTGTCTGACCAGATTTCCTGATAAAGTCTCATTTAATTTTTTGTGGCAATACTTGAACAGTGTTTATGCATTTCAGTGTAATCTCTGGCATCTAGTCATTTTGTAGGGGGAATGCAACTTCCAACCTCATGTTTTGTATATAACATTCCAGAATGCTCTTTTTTTCAGAGTACATCCAGACCATAATGATGATGGAAGAATCGGTTCAACATATGGTCATGGCAGCAATTCAAGAGGTATGCTGGAGTGCCTACAGTGTGTAGAAGTTCAGCTTTTCAATATATTAGAAAAGTATACTTTTTCACTTAAAAAAAAAAAAAAAAACAAAAAAAGAAACAGTTACAAGTAAATATAACAAGTGCCAATTTTGCCATTTTACTTTGAAAAATATCTTCTTTATTTTTCATAAAAAATTTATTTAAGGATTCTTTATGTCATGGAACTCTGCTTGAATGTCCCACTTTTCTTTAAATCTAGAAGGTTGAAACTTCTAGATATTTTTGATCCTGGGTTCTCTTTCCTTTACCTTTCCTACCCCATGTCTCTTAAGTGCAGTAGATTTTATATGAGTAGCCAGTACTGTAAATTTTCTTAAAAATTTCTACTTTGTAGTTGCAGAACTCCATGAACTGTTAATGTTTTCTTTACTGGGCAAGAAAAGAAAGATAAGTGTTTAACAAAGTATTCTTTTGTCAGATGTAGTATTATGGATAGGTTAATGGAAGGTATTTATGAGGCTCCATTTTACATTCTGGCAAATGTTCTATAGTCTGTCTTGTAAAAGTGCTGTTGGAAACTTGGTTTGTTTCTGAGACTGCAGTGGTTCTTCTGATCAAGCTGAAGAGGTACTGTACACAATGAAGGATTTCATAGTTACCTGTCACTGGTGAATTGCATTAGAAGTACATGCAGGCACATCAGAGAAGTAAAGTAAACCAGAGTATGATCACTGTTGCCATGAAGGTCTTGAGTGACTTCTAGTGTGTCTGAAATGCCTATCAGTCTTCATACATGCAGGTTTACGTGCAGGAAGGCCACTCAGAGAAGCAGGAATCTTGGTAATAACTTTCCGTCTTGAGCATGAATGAGAGAAACTACATTCCACATTGAACTCTTGAGCTATTTTACTTTTCTTTAATGCATAAAGAGAGGAAGAATGCTCAATTGGCCTATGGTAATTCCACCCTCAATTATTACTACAACTAATGCTGCGCCATTATAGTCTTCTTGTTGGCTGTTTGTGAACTCATGTGTGTGTGTGTGTGTGTGTGTGTGTATATATATATATATATGCGTATATGTATGTGTGATATATATAGATGTATATAAAACACACAATACTATATATGTGTAGTATTGCAGACAGTGTTTCTGAAATGCTGTCAAAAGAATCCTGTTGCAAAACCATCTTCTGGTCAGTGCTGCCAAGAGCAGGCACTTAGTTTGCTTGAATTTTGCAGTATTTTTTTTTTTTCCCCCTAAACTGTGAGGTAACGTTTTGCTGGATTTTCTCATATCATCTTTCATTAAACATGACTTTCAGCATCACTTTATCCTGCACTGCCTTAAAATGGAAAATATTCTTTCATCCTCCCTCCTTCTCTGAAAAATCTCGTGGATACTAACTTAATGTGATAAAATAGCTGGATCTGAAGCTGCCAACAGTTTTGCCATTTGATGAGTAGGCATTGAACCTGGATGGCATTTGTGGCCTTTCTTAGGTATAGCAACCAGAAGTGGGGAGAAATCACAAAAGGATCTGTTCCTCTTGAACACACTTGAAATTCATTGAATCAAGATCAGAAGTTTACTGTTGTGGACTAGTGTAGATCTGAGTGATTTTAATGCTGTGTTCCAAAAAAAATAAACTGGTTAGAATGTAAGGTGTTACGAAGCAAATGAGGAGGGTCTTTACCAGGGGAGGGTGCTTTACCAAAACATCCTCAAAAACAAGAGTTTAGATCTAAGGAGACTTTTCAGGGCTGCTTCTGCAGCCTTTGACTTTGGAGGAGTGATACTTCGTTGTATTTAAGGAGTTTTTCTATTTCTTGGACTTACAACAGCTCTAAGAATCTAAATGACTTAGACTAGTGTGTAGGAGAAACCAAAGTGAAGTGCCTAGGGGAGCAGCTATATATGCATAGCTGAAAAGTTGATATGTCATCTAATCCAAACATTTCAAAGTACTTGACAAGCAGTTGCTCTTTCTTCTATATTAGGAATCTAAAAAGACTTCTCTATGCTTTACTAACGTATTATGTAATTCATCTTTATGTATAAATGCTTTTTGATACTTCAGTGGTTTTCATAAATGATCTTAGTCATGAAAACAGCTTTGAAAAAATCTGCCATTCTTTGTTTTCTTGATGGGAAAAAAAATACTGGACTTAAATGGAAAAAGTAGCATTTTATCATTTAATAGCATTTAAACTGGGGATGGGGAAAGGGGAAGAAAGAAGTATTAATTGCTCTGCCAAGGACTTAAGTAGACTGTTCCTTTTCACTGTAAAGCACTCCAGCTTGAGTAGGGATTGGAGCAGATGGACACAAGGGCCCATGCCAACATCAGACATACTGTGATTTTTTTTTTTTTGTCTTTTCTGCTAAGATCTCTCAAGTATAGGAAGTCATAAGATAAATGGCAAAACCCACTGCAGAATAGAGGCGTTATGTTTATTGGGTACCTTGACAGTAATCTACAGAAAGCAGAAACACCAGGGTAGCTTCTAGTAAGTTGTACAGGCTATTGCATTGTTCCTGTGGTTGTTTTAGGAAGGGCTCATTAAACTGAAATTCTGAGAAGGAAGTTGTACTATGCTCAGAAATTACATGTTGAATGTCGGGGCGTACTACTGTCCTACCTGTAAGCTTGGGAGCTGCCAGCTGGAAAGAGTTTAAAGGCTTGAAGTATAGTACTGATATTGTCTGGGACATGGAGGGAATGTGTTTGTGAACAGTGGTGTTGGATCTGGAACAAGGTGAAGAGCATTTGGTTAGTCTTGATATTCATATCAGTCATCTAAAAAAGCATTTAGACAGTAGCTAGAGAGATGACATAATTAAACTGTATATAACATCACTAAGAAGAGAGCTTCTGTGTGTGATATTGAACAAGGTGCGTCTTCATTTTTCAGGAGAGCTCTGAGGCTAAGGACTTGCTAATTTCAGTTCTAGAGAATCTGAATTTTGTGGAGAGTTTCATGCAGGGTAGATTGTCATTGTAAATGCATCGACAAAATGGAAAGAATTAAGCAACTAGCAACAAACGTGGTCATGGTTGTCTGAATTTAAACATATAGCGTGCATCTAAATCCCAAGTAGGGAGATGGAGAAAGAGAGAGAAATGTAAGTGTATAAATATTTGAGTAGCATAAATGTCAAACAGAGATTTGCTCTTGCACATGGTGGTACAAATAGAAAGGATGCAGAGAAAACACAAGCTCTGTGCTGTGTACCAGAGAAACTTTGCCAGTGGAAACTAATGCAAAAGCTCTGGTTTCTGGCAGGAGTAAAGGAATAAAGGAATCATCTTACTCTTGCAGGAACAGCTAACTGGGCAGGAGGCCCTGAGAATATGGCGGGAAAAGATTCTTGTCCTGATTTTAGTTGAATCTGGCTTCTTACGTTTATGACTTCCTTGAATGGTGCTTAGAAGTAGTAAAACATACCGTGTGTCTGCAGAAATTTTGTTTCTGCAGTGCTTTCTTGTTAGTTACAACTCAGGTTTTACAGAGCTGATCACAATTTCAGTGATAATAACCCTAATATGTTTTCTTCACTTGTGCGGGAGATGGTCCTGGGGCTGCAGTTTGTGTTACATTTGAATTAACTTCAAACTACTTGTACAGACTGTGACTGGGGCTAGAACCTTCCTTTATTATCAGGTTGTTTTTTTTCTTTCACTAAAGCATATCACTTAATTTAAAGACTTCCGTCCCCCTATTTGTCATTATGAAAGGAATTTTATTTCTTGTTCTCAAGAATAGTATTTTTAGAATTTGTTTGTTTATATTGCAAATTGCGTAAAACTTCAGAACAGGAAGTTTCACTGTTTTTCATGATTGGTTGAGTTAGACTTAGCCCTAACTTTAGTTAACTAACAAAATAAATTCATGTGAACTTCCGAATGAAAACCACTGGCAAAGAATATGTTGATAGTTACAATCATTCCATGCCACTTCAGAAAATGTTCTGCAGGTGCATACCAGTTATGCAAGCCAGTGCTATGCAGAGCATACCATAGGTTGCATTGTAAATAAAAATCTGCTTTAATAGAAGAAAAAGGACATGATGTAATACTTACTTTATATATCTTTAAATTCTACTGAGAATTTCAGTAATTATTTCTGGATGTCATATATAAAAACAAAGTAGAAAACTTCAGTGTTGTCAGAATGAAGCTCACAGAGGTTAAAATCGTCTTAGTATTTCACTAAAGCTTGGCTTAAAAGTAAATATTTGCTTTTTCTAATCCACTGTAATCTAATTGCAGTTGATGAGTAAAGAGTCTCCTGTCTCTGTTGGAAATGATGCTTACGTTGACCTTGATCGGCAGGTATCTGAGATTAGATTTTTCTTCTCTTTCAATCTTAGCACGTCAGTGCCCAGTCATTTTGACTTATTAAGAAGCTTGTCTTTTTTATCTGATCATGAAAGGCCTTTGTGGGAAATTAACATAAGGAGTGGAAAACTAAGCTTCAGTATTTTTAATTATCTTGCTTTATAAATCAAATATTCTTATTTTGCAGAGAAAATTTCAGTTCCAGTACAAATAAACTTGAAAAAGTAAAAAATGATGTTCATGTTTGGAAAAAAAAGAAAGCTCATCTAAAGTGCATCATGTTTAGTAATAGATATCCGTATTTTCATATAAATAAATAAAGCAGGCTAGTTTTCTTGTAGCTGTCTTTCGTGTTAACAGTGTTCATGTAACTTAGATGATTATGCAACTTTGAACATGAAATCTGTAAAGAGGAATATGTGAGTATTTTGCACTGCTTGTAAGGTTCAGTGCCTTTTTTACAGAAGAGATTTGGATTCTCCATCACCATGTTAATTGTATTTTTATTAAGCAGGCTTCGAAGTGACAAAAGAGATTTTACCCTAGTTGTCCATTGCCTGTATTCCACCTTCCAATCCTTTGTGTATTTAAAAAGTAGATTTAAAAACTGAAATTATCCACTCTTTGTATCCGTAAAGAAAAGTGGTATTGACAGTTTTTTCATGTACAGAGTTGAAAAGTTCCTTAGGGTTTTCAGATGCTATTCCTAGACTAAATGTGATTATTGTAATGCTCTCTTAAGTAAGTTTACTGCTGTCTCACAAATTAGACAGTGTTCACATCTGCTTCGTTGTTCCTTTATAAGAGCAAGATTGCCTTACCTTCAAAAATGTAACAGGTTGCCTTAAGTTAAAATAATTTTATGGAAATGTAGTTCAGAATTTTTCTACACACTTTACAGAGAGTTAAGAAACTAAAAATGTTTGTTACTTATGGTAGCTGAAGAAAACTACAGAAGAATTGAATGAAGCATTGTCAACAAAAGAAGAAATTGCCCAAAGATGCCATGAGTTAGATATGCAGGTGAGTTTTCTGAATTGTACCTCTTTAATAATAATGGAGATAGAAATGCATTAATTTTTTAATTTTTAGACTTCTTAAGACAGGTAGTCCTAGGAATTTTTAAAAAGGAAAAGAAAATTGCATGGTAATTTTTTTTTTGCACTGTGATTATTTTGCTTTATTTGTGTGAACAGAGTGAAATTCACTTTTTCTCATTTTGATACAGTATTGCCATTATTAAATGATTAATACTACTAAAACCTTTTTTTTTTTTTTTTAATTCAAATAGAAAGGAATTGAGCTGTGTGGCTCACACCTGAAGCAGAACTCCTAGAAGTATTGCAGCTGTAGCACTGGGTTCATGAAAGGCTCTCATTGACCAACCTCATCTCCTTTTGTGACTGGGTCACCCATCTGGTGTATGAGGGAGAGGCTGTGAATGTAGTCTAGTCTATCTAGACGTCAGCATTTATGGCTTGGACACGCACAGTCTCTATTAGATAAAGAGCTGGCTGGAGGGCTGGACTCAGAGGGTGTTGGTGAATGGAGTTAAATCCAGCTGATAAGGTAGAGGTCAGCCTCTTCTCCCATGTAATTACTGATAGAACAAGAGGGAACGGCATCGAGTTGCTCCAGATGAGGTTCAGATTGGATATTAGAAAACATTTCTTCTCAGAAAGAGTAGTGAGACATTGGAACAGGCTGCCCAGTAACATGGTAGAGTCATCCTCCTTGGAGGTGTTAAAGGAAAGGGTAGATGTAGTACTTAGGGATGTGATTTTATGGGCAGTATTGGTGGAAGGTATACAGTTGGACTAGATGATGGTAGAGATCTTTTCCAAACATTGATTCTGTGATTTGCATTTTAAATTGTGGACAGAATTTATACTTGTCTACCAGCTGTGTATGGGCTTAAATTGAGCCTTCCTTTAAATTGTACTTGGAAGACGTGAAAAGGGTTAAGTGGGAGCCCAGGAAGGCACTGTCAGTGAAACCTTTGGAGTATAATTCAGCCTTTTGCCATGCTGTTCATTAACTGTTAGAATTAGTGAAGTTGTATTCCTTGAGTTGTATTTAATAATGCAAGTTCATACTGAAACATTTCCTTCTGTTGAGGTTCATATTTCTTCTTTAGCCCTCTTCCCGATGCTGATTTTACACTGTTTAATAATATATGAACTCATGCTCCAGCTTCTGTTTGCTCTTTTGGTTCCTTCTGTACTGCTGCTTTTTTTCACAGAACCGTTGGAAACCATGTCATCTTTAAGATTGTCTTCCAGGTTCAGTAATTGCAGTTGCTTGCAGTTGCTGGTCAAAAAAATTCTTGGAAGGATACAGGCATTCCATTGGATATTCCATTATGGAATTGATAAACATTGTTTCCTTTGGAAGTCAGTTTTAAAAGTTGCTCTGAAGTGCTGGTTTTACTTGTTTGTAAAGTATGCAGACTTAGATATACTGGATTCGTGTACTGTGGTAGCTAAGAGGGTTTGTTTTTTTTTTTTTAGACGCTTTGGAGAACTGCAGTTAAGAATTACATTTTTGAATGGCAGATACTGCTGTTAATGCTGGCATATGCTAGTTACATCACATAGCAATTGAATATTTACTAATGTTACACTGTGATCTTACAAAATGTGATTTTTGAAACCTACATGTTTGTATTTGGAGATTGTGTTATTACTTCATAATGCGCACCAAAAAAAAAAAATCTGTAGAGTTGGATTGCTCCATTATTCTGTTTGCGTAACTATTAAAACAGGTTGCAGCCCTTCAGGAGGAGAAGAGCAGTTTGCTTGCTGAGAACCAGATTTTGATGGAACGTTTAAATCAATCTGACTCAATTGAAGATCCCAACAGCCCTGCTGGTCGTAGGCACTTGCAACTGCAAACACAACTAGAACAACTCCAAGAGGAAACATTCAGGTAGGGAGATTACCTGTAACTTGTTTGTAGCTGACAATAGACATAACTAAATGCCTCTGTTTTCACTGGCTGAATTATTGGAGTTGATGCTACTATGACACTTAGGAAGTTTTTGGCACACTTTTTAAGATTTACCTTTTCATACACTATAGCATCAAAAGTTGCATATTAATCATGAAATACTGTCTGAATGTCCCCATCTACTCTGTTAAGTTTTACACTGTTTGGGTGCAATCACTTCATCAATATTTCAGAATCAGTGGTGATGAAAGGTAGCATGCTTTCCATTGTATAAATCATTCTGATTCTATTATGTTGGCATAGAAATTCCTAGTTGAATGTTTATTGTGGGTGGTAGTATTATGCAACAAAGTATGTCCTTCTCTTAAGTCTGAAAACAAAATATGTCATATTTGAAAGATGGAGATTTTGAGCTATTGAGCTCAACTCCTCTTTTGCTCATTTCCTCATTGGGTGGAAATATAGTTTCTCCTTAATTATCCTTCCTGATCCTGTCAACTGTTGCTTTCAGCCTCTCTAAGCTCATAATGCTGAGAAAAGGTAGTCTACTTCACTGTTGTCTTTTCATACTTATTGCTATACTTTTCTTCTCCTTTGTGACTGAAACTGTAATATTTGTCTCCATTTTTTGTTTTCCTGCCCCCCTTTTCCTATTGTGTTTTTAAATACTTTTGCCAATTGTCAAGTAACTTTCCTTTTTTGTCTATTTTGGTATTTTCTGCTTGTCCTGCAAAGACTTTTTTTTTCAAGTGTTCAGATGCATATCTCCCTCCAGTTCCCTGAAAGATAATAAACATTTCTCTTTTGTAGCAGCCAATGTATGTTTTCTCGTTTCTGTATGTCTACCCTGTGGAGGAATAGTACTGTGGTATCTCTTTAGTGTAAAACCTTTAACTCTGCTTATTCATATCTGTTCTCTGAAGTGATATGTACCTGAGCCTTTTGACTATTTCCTATTTGTATTAAACAGATTTTTTTCCCCTTATTCAATATCTGCATTGCCGGTTTCTACTTTCAGGTTTTGGAGGGCTTTGTAAATCCTTTTTACCTGAAGCCTGTCTTCCAGTTCTTTACCTCCTCCCCCTTCTTTCTTATGCTATCTTATGTCTGTGTTCTTTCTCCAGCTCTACCCAACCAAACAGGAAGTATGTACAGCTTAACTGATGCAAAGTGTTGTCTGGTGTTGTTATTCCAGTCTTAACTCTGTGTCCTTCCCCAGTTTGGGGCATCAAAATTCCAGCCTTTGTATTTGGCTTACCTGACCTACTGATCATATTTATCCTCTATTCTTGCGGTTTCCTAGTGAATTCCTTTAATTAACAAAGCACTGGTTTTGTTTTTTTTTTTTTCTTGCTTGTAGTTCTTCTTTTGGATTTCCATCATTTTAATTTTGGATCATAATTAGGATAGTATTTTATGTTGCAACTTGTCTGTTTCTACTCTTTCAAATACTTTAACAAAATTTATCTTAGTTATACCCCTTGTTCACTGCCAGGTTAATGCAGCTTTGCCTATGTGTACTGTAGACGAGTAGTTCACCCCTGAAACTTCATTCTGCTTTATGTGCTGGTCAAAATATAGGTAGCTAAATGGCTTCATTCTTAAGAACAAGTTAAGCTGAGAGAATAAATAAAAAACACCTCACTGAGAGCTCTAAAGCATATAGTACATCTGGCAACCAGGTCAGTGCTGTTGGAAGTGTATGGAACTAGAACAGCTAAATAAAATCCTAGGATAAAGTCATCATATTCAAACTCTGTACAGCTCGAGATTAAAAAGATTGGAAATTTCTGCTTGGAAATGCATTTCTGAAAAAGTATAGTGACAAAAAAAGTCGGATTGCCTTTTCATTAGGAGATCACAGCCTTGTGATGTTCCAAATAGAAATACTGGCATCAAATTAAAATCATCAGAACACTCAGTCTGCTCCTGTCTTATTCCAATAAGCCTGACATTTGGGTTTGTATGTGATGTTGCACGTTAGACTGCTATTTTCCTTTCCTATGTAAGTCATCTTAGAGAAGATGTATTCTTAGAGAGAATGATGGTGAAGAAGGATAACTGTGAGTCAAGCTAAGGAATTATTTTCTGTTTTACATTATTTCTACAGATTAGAAGCTGCCAAAGATGACTATAGAATACGTTGTGAAGAACTGGAGAAGGAAATTGCAGAATTGAGACAACAGACAGAAGAGCTTACTACATTGGCAGAGGAAGCTCAATCTCTGAAGGATGAGATAGATGTACTGAGGTACACAGACCACCACAGTTCTGCTTAAACAAATGTTACCTACTGATTAGGCACATAATGAATATTAGCAAATGTAGCAATGTTATACTGTCTTATGGCTGTAACAAGTCATGTACTGATCTCTGAGTGCAGACTGTTCTCCACTTACTGTCCCCTTCATGATAGGGGAGTCCATTCTTCTGAAGATGATAGACCTTTTGTGGTATTGTGTTGTTTGCACTTTGGGTGGCACTTTGGTTCATCATTCACATTGGAGAGATGTGGATTTGACAGCTGAACTACCTGTTGAATAAGAAATTGTTTGAAAGGCTACGGACAAAGGGTGGTGATCAATGGCTCTATGTCCAGGTGAAGTCTGGTAACGAGTGGTGTCCCCCAGGAGTCTGTTTTGGGACTGTTGCTTTTTAATGTCTTTGTCAGTGACCTTGACAATGGAATTGAGTGCATCCTCAGCAAGTTTGCTGATGACACCAAGCTGAGTGGTGTGGTTGACAAGGCGGAAGGAAGGGGTGCTATTCGGAGGGTACTCAACAGACTCGAAAGGTGGGCCCAGGTGAATCTAGCAAAGTTCAATACAGCAAAGTACACTTGGGCCGGAAGAATCACAGGCATCCATACAGACTGGAAGGAGCAGTCCTTGAGAGCTGCCCTGAAGAGAAGGACCTGGGGGTCCTGATGGATGAAAAAGTAAACATGAGCCAGCAGTGTGCTCTTGCAGCTTGGAGGAGCATTGGTATCCTCTGCTCCATTCATAGAGGGGTAGCCAGCAGGGACAGGGAGGTGATTTTCCCTCCCAGCTCTGCCCTTGTGAGGCCCCACCTGAAGTACTGCATCCAAGTCTGGGACTCCCAGTACAGGAAAGACAGAGAGCTGTTGGAGAGGGTCCAGAGGAGGACCACTAAGATAATCAGAGGGCTGGAGCGCCTCTCCTACAAAGACAGTCTGACAGGAGCTGGACTTCTTCAGCCTGGAGAAGAGAAGGCTGAGGGGTGACCTCATTGCAGCCTTCCAGTACCTAAAGGGAGCTTGTAAACAGGAGGGGAGTCAACTCTTTGAAAGGGTAGATAATAGCAGGACAAGGGAAAATAGTTTTAAGTTGAAGGAGGGAAGAGTTAGGTAGGATATCAGAGGGAAGTTCTTTACAGAGAGAGTGGTGAGGTGCTGGAACAGGCTGCCCAGAGTGGTTGTGGATGCCCCATCCCTGGAGGCGTTCAAGGCCAGGCTGGATGGGGCCCTTGGCAGCCTGGTCTAGTACTAAATGTGAAGGTTGGTGGCCTTGCTTGTGGCAGGGAGATTGGAGCTTTATCATCCTTGAGGTCCCGTCCAACCTGGGCTATTCTATGATTCTGTATGACATTAACATGTGACAGCTGTTTTTGCCACTGGATTTCAGTACCCATAGTTGTGATAACCAACTGTGCTGGGGGTTTATAAAGTGGAACAGTCCTCTTTGCTGTAGAATGTAATTCTTTAGCACTGTCTTCTGGCTGCTATCAGTTATTCAGATTGTCTGCCACAAGGCTAACATGACTTATTACAATACTGACTTTTCTAATTCACTGGACTTATTTCTATCTATATGTTCTCTGTCATTAATGTTGGTTATGAGCCTGTGGTACTTCACAATTCCATACATTTTCAGTGTGGGAAGCACAGGTTCAAAAACAGTGTCTTGCTCCAGACAGAGTCTGTCCTTGTTTAGCAATTAAGAAGATTTTACTTGCTCCCGTGTCTCATGAATTGATCATCAATGTAGAATTCTCCAGATTTCTTAGGCAGCTGAGTAAGTAAATTAACTTTAAAATGAAGTTGGGATGCGGTTAGGGAGCAGAGAAGGAAGGGTTACTGTCTTCCTGGCAATTCATCAGGTTTTTCTAATTTCATTATGGGGTCTACTACTTGAATTTTGTCATCCTGTGAGACAAGTGTTCATTACATGGTGTTCAACTGCTGGAGATGTTGGACTTCGAATGTGCCATAATCTCTGTCCTAGCTTCATAACTAGCAGTAGTAACTTTAGACCTATTCTAAAATACAAATCTAACAGTTTTTAACAACTGTTGCCATTGCTGCCTAACTTCAGAAGTGAATTGGGGTCACAATGTATAAGCTTTTACTCTATGCTTGCAGCTGTTAATTTCTGGGATTTTGTTCTGTACTGCTTTGGATAATATTTTCTTTCTCAGCTTCCAACATATTTTAACTTGTTCATTTCTTAACGTGTGTACCATAGCAACTTCCAAGTAGCAACCATAATCCTGGCTCTCTCCTCACTATATAGTTTACTTTTCTTTCTTTTAAGCCTGATCAAACTGCCGTATGATCAGTGCCATTTTTCCCTACTGATTCAGTGAAGATGATCATATCCTACTTTTTATAAACTTTTGCCTTTAATTTTTCTAGCATATACTCCACATTTAAACTCTTTGTCAGAGATCTGAGTAATAATGGTCTTATTGCTCCCCAATGTTACTTCACCTTGTGAGTCACACTGAGCACCTTCATTCCTGAAATTATGTTGGTCTGCCAGAAGGAGGGTTTTTAAAAAAAATAAATTGATTTTTGCTTCAGTTAGTGTTCTGAAGTGTCCTTCCTCTGTGTTCAGGAATACCAGGATTACTGTATTGATCTGTACCAGTGGATGAAGGGAGAATACATTGTTTCTACCAACTCAGCTATTAATGCAGCATGCACATTTGACTTCAGTGGGGAGCAGCTGGCCACTCTGAATAAACATTAAATGCATACTGTGACCTTCAAGATGGTACAGACTTGTGTTCAGATAATACTTTTAGAAAGACCTTCCGTCAGCAGCTATTTGAATTAACAGATGGTGGAAGGAAATTAAGTTTAGAAGTGAAACTATATGGTAGTGTGAGGATATGATCACTTTCTTGTGTTATTTGTGATGCCTTGGGATGTCTTCTACATGACTTCTAAACGTGAAGGAAGCTTCAGGACATTTGATTTTCTTAGCTTTCAGAGTACAAATTTGATACAAATTTTTCCTTCCAGGCATTCTTCTGATAAAGTAGCCAAGTTAGAAAGCCAAGTGGAATCTTATAAGAAGAAATTAGAAGACCTGGGTGATTTGCGTCGGCAAGTGAAACTCTTAGAAGAAAAGAATACAATGTACATGCAAAATACTGTAAGCCTGGAAGAGGAGCTGAGGAAGGCCAATGCAGCACGCAGCCAGCTAGAGACGTATAAGAGACAGGTGAGAAAGTCGTCATCAACACAACATTTCTCTGCATTTTTAAACACTTCGTTGTCGTAACACAGCTGATACCTGAAAGTAAAATACAAATGATGAACAAATACCTCTCTACTTGTTTTTTAGATACTGCCTTTCTTATCTGTTCCTGCAATTTTTACATCTATGTAAAATATGCTTGTCAGCACGCACGTCGTCTTACTTTTCAAAAATCAATGGGTGTGAGAATTATTTTTCTCAAACTCAGTAGTAAGGCTTGGGTTACAGCCTCTTCTTTAAGATAAAGTATATACTTAGAAATTTACAGCAGTGGGGGATGTACCACAGCTGAGGTAAGTTGCTCCCTTAGTGAAGTATTCCATGAGAAACAAAGAGCTTGATGAGAAAAATACTGGTATAACAGTCAAAGGAAAAAGTAAATGCAGAAAGCAGTAACTGTTCACACAGGAGTAGTATCATGTTTACTAGCAGTAAATATTCCTTGCCTTTACCAACTGAGTATACAAATATAAGTATCTCATGGGCTAGGGTGCTTGAAGGTAAGGTGGCTTGTGAGAGCTGAGCAGCATTTAAACAGCACTTCTTCCAAGCTCAGGATCAGTGCATCCCTAAAAGTAGAAAACTGGGGAAGAGAGGCAGGAGACCTGTGTTGAATGAGCAAGGAGCTTGTGAATAAGATCAAAGGGAAGAAGAAGCTTTATGAAATGTGCAAAAAGGGCCTGCCCTTTTGGGACAAGAATAGGAGTGTTGTCAGGGCCAACAGGGAAGTGATCAGGAAGGCTAACGCTCACCAGGAACTGAAGCTGGTGAAGGAGATAAAGGATAATAGGAAGGGGTTTTTTTGAGAATGTTAATGGTAAAAGGAATACTAGGGATAATGTGGGTCTCCTGCTGAATGATGGAGGTATCCTGCTAACAGGAGATTCTGAATGCCTTCTTTGCTTCAGTCGTCACTTCAAAGACTCACCCTCAGGACTCCTGGACACTGGAGGGAAGAGAGAGAGTCCAGGAAATGGAGAGCTTCCCTTTGGTTGAGGGGAGAGTGATCCAGGAGCGTCTAGGTGGGATCAGTGTGCACAAATCCATGGGTCCTAAAGGGATGCATCTATGTGTGCTGAGGGAGCTGGCAGAGGTGATTGCCAGACCACTCTCTGTCATCTTTGACAGATCTTGGAGAAAGGAGAGGTGCCTGAAGACAATAGGATAGCCAATGTCATTCCAGTCTTCAAGAAGGGCAAGAAAGAGCATGTGGGAAACTACAGTCCAGTCAGTCTCACCTCTGTCCCTGGAAAGGTGATGGAACAGCTTGTTCTGGATGCCATTTCCAGGCAATTAAAAAAAAAGAAGGCTATCAGGAGTAGTCAGCATGGATTCACCAAGAGGAAATGGTGCTTGACCATCTTTGCAGCCTTCTATGATGACATCAGTGGCTGGGTAGATGGGGGGGAAAGCAGTGGATGTTGTTTACTTTGACTTCAGCAAGGCTTTTGATATTGTCTCCAAAGACATCCTGATGCTGAAGCTGAGGAAATGTGGGACAGATGAGTGGACAGTGAGGTAGGTTGAGAAATGGCTGGCTGGTCAAGCTCAGAGGGTGGTGATCAGTGGTGCAGAGTCCAGTTGGAGACCTGTGACTTAGCAGTGCTACCCAGGGTTTGGTGTGGACCTGGTTTTGTGCAAAATCCTCATTGACGACCTTGGCGAAGGGATAATGTCCACTCTCAGCAAGCATGCCCACGATACAAAGCTGGGAGGAGTGGCCTGTAGGCCACAGAAGGCTATACTATCATTCAGCAGGAGCTGGAGAGGCTGGAGAGCTGGGCAGTGAGAAACCAGATGAGGTTTAACAAGAGCAAGTCTTGTACTTGTCCGGTTTTGCACTTGGGAAGGAGTAACAGCACGTATCAGGAGAGTGTGGGGGCAGACTGCTGGAGAGGAGCTCTGTGGAGAAGGAAGCTCTGTCCTGGTGGACAACAGGATGGCCATGAGCAAGCAGTGTGCTAGGAAGGCCAATGGAATCCTGGGATGCATAAAAAGGAGCATGTCCAGTAAGTCAAGGCAGGTGATCCTCCCCTTCTTCTGTGCCCTGGTCAGGCCTCACCTGAAGTGCTGTACACAGTTCTGGGCTCCCCGGTACAAAAAGACAGAGATCTCCTGGAAAGAGTCCAACAGAGGGCCTCAAAGATGATAAAGGGCATAAAGAACATCTCCTGTATGAAGGAAGGCTGGATGACCTGGGTCTGTTCAGCCTTGAGAAAGGAAGGCTGAGAGGAGATCTGATTAATGTTTGTAAGTATCATTAAACATAGGAAACAAAGGGATATGGCCACTCTCTTTTCAGTGGTCTGTGGGGACAGGACAAGGGGAAATGACCATACACTGGAACAGAGGATATTCCACACCAATACACAAAAGAACTTCTTCACGATGAGGGTCAAGGATCACAGGAACAGGTTTTGGAGTCTCCTTCCCTGGAGTAATTCAAGACCTGCCTGGACACTTACGTGTGCAGCTTTCTGTATTGGGCCTGCTTTGGGAGGGGGGTTGGACTCGATCAGTGGAGGTCCCTTCCAGCCCCTAAAATTCCATGATTCTGTGATAGCTGTGTAACCTTTGTGTCTGGATCTGATTATACTTAACTGAGATAAGGATTTTGGAAGGGGCAGTCCTGTCATTTGTTCTGCAAAAAGTACTGTTCCTTTTCTGTGCTCTGTGGGTGAGATTTCCCATATGAGGTGCTGATAATTTGTAGAGAACTGGTCCACTATCTGAGTCTGGAATAAACATCAGGTGCCTCATGTGAGAGGTGATAGTTTCTTTCACCTAATTACAGTGTCTCAAAATGATCACATAGCATGTATACATGTCCTGTTGGATTTTTTTTGGAATCTGGCTATGAATTGTGAACTGTCATTTTATTATTTTCTGTGAATCCTAACTTTTGCTATAAAAATTAAGCCAGGTGTAAAGATTCAGATGTTATACGATTGAGCACTCGTTTGCTACCGTAGAGCAACATGTCTTCCCTGATGTGCAGAGGAATTGAACCCCAGTTAAGATCATGTCAGCAGCAGAGTTATTGGAGATATTTCTCTGGCTTAGAAAATTTGTGCTGTGCAGGTGAAAGTTCAAACTGCTGTAGTGATCTGCAAGGAAATCTCATCTTACATATTAGTTTCCTTAAGATGAGCGTGATGGTGGCATATTGTACTTGGAGACATAATAGCACCTATTTAGGAGGCTTTGTTCACTTTTCTGAAAGCAAGTGCAAGCATTTTCTAAGAAACTTTTTATTGCAGCATGAAGAATTCAAATGTGCAGATTCCGTGATTACTTTTGTAATTTTGATTCAGTCCCTTTGTGCATGTGTGTTCTGATGCATTTTTAACAGTATGTCCTGCTTTTCTTTGCAAGGTTACTGCTTTACTCATTCCACATGTCAGATAATGCTCAGTAAATGTGATGGCAATTCATTCATGTATTTTTTTTTTTTTTTTAATCTTCTGCATTACCATGTAGCTGCGTATCTTTCTGAACACTCCCGAATCCTGATTTTGGGCAGTTTATTTCCTGCTGTGGTTTTCTGTATAACATTACCATAGGTTGATTTATTACAGACATTAACACATTTATTCCAATTCAGATAGGAGTATATCTATTTTACAGAGAGGGCAGAATTGTAGATGAAGGCCTCCATTCTTTTTGTACCCCGAGTGATGGAAGTCACATCTGAAAAATTAAATATTTTCAAAACTGGCATTGTAAATTTTTTTCTGATCTCAGAAATGGCAGATGTTGTTTATTATTTCATGTCTTTATTAAAAAGAAGAACAAAAAAAAGAATACAAAGCAAAAAAAAAACCCGGTATCTTTCATTCTAAGACAAAGACCATGCAGATTTTCAGACCTGGTAGTTATTTTCTTATAGTTGTTCACAGTGGAAGTAAAACGTAATTGGAACCACTAGATAGTCTTATGTAGGCACAGCTACTGCTTTTCATTGACAAATTGTTAGTCACTTTCTCTGTAATCTGAAACCAATGAGAAAGCCACCTTATGAATTGCTTCAGAAGAAACTTTGTCTTCAGCTGAATCATCATTCAGCTTATCTATTTGCAGCTAAGTCTTTATTCAGATTACTTGCTTCTATGCTTTCTACATTATGAGTATTACTGATGTCTGAGAATCAGCTTTTCTTAGTAAAGGTTGAGAACTTTGGAAAGGCACAACTTTACTGATTTGCCTTCCGTTCACTGATTGTTTCTATGTATTAAATAAACTCTTTACTGATCTATAGTTGAAAGTATATACTTGACATTGTTAGACATGTATTTCATTCTGAAGTATCTTTATATTAGTGTATTAAAAAACAATTAGGAAAATCTCACGATAAGAGACATTATCTGACTACATAAATTGGCAGTTGAGTTCTGAGTAAGGCTTAACGACAGTTGCAGATAATTTCATCAAAGGTTTTTTTTTCTCTTGGCTTCTCAGAAAGCAGAAGGATTTTTGCACTGCTTCTGAGCAATTTGTAGAAGTACATTGCTTTTTTTTTTTTCCTATTAGCCATGGTTAGGCTTCCAGTCCTGTTTGTAGATATATTGAATGTATTTTACAGGTTTTGCTTCTTGTTTTTGTCATGAGACCTAATACTTGGATGCTGTTAGTTTTGCTGAAACATAGAACAAGCAGTTTTTAGAAGTCCTATAGATAAACATTATGCTTGTTTTACAAAATAACTTGTGGTGCATGGTAATTGGCTACTTTTGTTTTATGTACTTTGTTTTAATACTAATATTTGCAGACAAATTATTGATTCTTGTTCTCACAGGCAGTTGAACTACAAAACAGGTTATCTGAAGAATCCAAGAAAGCTGATAAATTAGATTATGAATGCAAACGGCTGAAAGAAAAAGTAGACAGCCTCCAAAAAGAAAAAGATGTAAGTGCCAAGGTGGTGGGGTTTTTTTGGTAGTAGTGAAAGCAACTTTGTGTCCTTTGTAACAGAGAGATGTCATAATAAAAATTAGCCATTTACAGCAATCTTTTTAAATTGGAAGCCTTTTTTCACTTATAATTTCCTCATGTATGTTTTATAAGATCCTTTTTAAATCTAAGAACTGTACAGCATAGAATTAAATGACTAAAATCATATGCAACACTTCTTAAAAATGAAGAGCTTTCATAGTTGAGATCTGAAATTTTCTTGCCCTTTCCTCATGAGAAGGTTAATAAACACTCAGCGTAATTGTCATGTATTCTGAATGAGTATTTAAAGTAGGTGTTTTTGCAGTATCTTCCTTATACTCCTGTTTCGTTCATTTTTTTTTTTTAAGATCTTTCCTTGAGATACCATCTGCATGCTTCTGTTTACACAGTCATGAACACTGCAGCAAGAGGCTTAGGAGTCTTCTAGAAGGATGTTTCCATTGTTACAATCTTGCCTTTCATGATAGTTCATTGACCTGTCTTGTAGTGTCAACATAGAACACACAGGGCTCTGTTCTGTTCCTCTCTGTCATTTACGGCTACTAATTCTGAGATCAATTTCTCTGTCCCCTCTTGCTAAGACCAGTCTCTTAAATTTTTCTTGCATACTCTTGTTTCACACCTGTTTATTTGTTTGTTTTTCCTAGAAGCACTGCAAATGCATTCCTAAGCATGGCTGGCATTTTTGAGTTAGAAGTTTCTCAGACTTGATGTATAAGTCCATTTATTCATCAGGAAAATTCTTTGTAGGCATTTCCTTTAATAAATCATGTTGCCTGTTAAATCCTTTCAAGAAAGGCCAGTCCTTACCCTTAAATAGTATCTATAAAATAGTAAATCTTCACTTATTTTCAGTTCACAGATCTTTGATTTCCATATTTTGTTAATTTTTAACTACTCTGAACAGTTGACCTTTTCACTTCCATTTGCTCTTCAGCTCAGATTGGAATGCTTATAGTTACCATTTGTGCTTTGGCTTTCATCTCTGCTTCTTATTTAAAGTTTGTTTTTCCAATTTTGTTATGTTTAACAGTGGTAAGATTGTGTTTGTGGCTTATCTGTTGCTTGATAGACCATTTTGTCTTGCACAAAGGATCTGAATTGCAGGTGACTGTTGTACAGTTTTCAGTTTTACTGCCTGGGTGATAGCAAATTCTTTTTAATTAAGTTGTTTTTCAGTACTTTCTTCTGAATTGATATGCACCTTTGAGAACTAGTTTATAGTTGAAGATTCTCAACGTTTGTATTACACCACCAATGTTACCTGCTCTTCCCAATTGTCATATACATATCACTAGCATTGCCCATCACAGATCAGAAGCCATGTGATGGTACTTTGTCAGTTACATTTTAGAGGCAGTTAGAGAAATCAGTTTTGTTCTTTTCTTTATATTCAGGCAAAGTGTGGTACAATGTTTGGTATCTCAGCTTTGCAGGTGAATTTCACTTCTGTGGTCTGTTGTTTGAGAAGTAATATTATTTGATGAGTTGACTTTGTCTTCACTGTACAGATGAAGACTTTGAGTTTTGTCTATTCATTGAAATATTCTAGCATCTGATTAATTGGCTTGATGTCTTCTGACTGCAACGGACTGCAGAATCTTTGCTTTCAGCAGCTGAATTTGAGCACTCCTCTGAGCGGCCATTTTTCTGTATTTGTAGTAAAACCAGTTTTTTAACCTGCAAGACTCATTAAGTGGCTTGCTGTGCAAACAAAATGCACACTGTATCCAGATTGTTTTGACAGTTGCACTAGAGTTCGCTGGATAGGATTCAGAAATACAACAGAAGCCTCTGCCACACCTCACCAATATAGTCTTTGCCAAGGGTTTTTGAAGTTACGAATCCATTTAGGCTGAAATATAAAATACATCAAACTATTAATGTGATCAGATTCAAGGAGCTATCAGTAAACGCAGGTCTGTACCTACACAGAGTTGAGGTCTGACTTGGACCTTTAGTGAAGCTGGATATTTCTGATATTGGAGCAAACTACAACTTAGATCCTTAAATAGTTGCTATTCTCTCCTTTCATTTTTCACTGTTGGCGTCTTTCAGGACTAAAACTTGGTGTTATCTGTAAATTCTCATTTTTGCCAAAAGGAGGCTTCTGTTAGATGAGAGTGTATTTACGTGATGCTACTTTAAAACCCGTCTATCTAGATCCCAAGATGGGCCTGTTCTGTTTTTAGTTCTTTGGACTGAGTCTTAAGTCTTAGTCGTCTTAAATACCTGAGATGCTGGCTGGTGAATGGCAGGGCCAGTTGACACAAATCAGGAAGGAGTTATGGAACTGCTGCTCACACTTTCACTGCTGAAAGAGAAACAAAACCAAGTTAATAAGATTGTCTTTTGTTGACTGTGTCTTTTATTTCACTCTTGGCTAAGTCTTAATTTCATGGTGAGGGAAACATCTGCAGTGTCTTCTCACTTCACTTTCCCTTGGAACAAATTCCCTGATGAAGGGAAGAAGATGGCTTACTGATTCCTGTACTGTTTACTGTATACTGTTTACTGCCTGGTACCAGAACTTTGTGTCACTAAAATGATGGTGTCAGCTTATATCCTAATGGTTATACTCTGCATAGCTGTGTTAGCAGAGCATAAAAAAAAAAAAAACGTGTTTTAAATTTTTAACTTTAAATTTCTTCTTATTCTGTTGTGAAATAGGCTGAGATCCCTTAATTTGAAAAGCAGTCTCTGATACCACATTCAATTCTTTTGAAAGTGTTGATACTATGCCTTTCATCAAATTGCATAGTTTAAATATGGAATGGCAGTGCCAAAACTTATATTTATTCTCTTTCCAATTATTTAGAGATTAAGAACAGAAAGGGATTCTTTGAAAGAAACTATTGAAGAGCTCAGGTGTGTACAAGCACAGGAGGGTCAACTCACCACTACAGGTAACAAAAACGGAGATTAGAAACATCTTTTCTAAAGTTCGTGAGATTTATCTGAAGAGTACTGAATGTGCTTTGTTTAGGAGAAAATAAATTTAGACTTCCTTGAAAGCATCAATGAGAAGCTGCTTTTGCTACTCATAACTTGCCTAACTTCTGATTTCAGTGGATCAGAACTTTTAGTCTCCTCATTGTGGTAGTTCTAGGATGTATTTCTAAACTGTTTAGTCAGTCTGAAGAAAATTACTTAACCTTTCTCAAGTATATATGGTATTTCATGTGTTGCAATGTATTTGTTATGTTGCACAGCTTTTTGAATAAGCTCTTGAGAAAATGCACCACAAAATCACGTTGACCAGATTGATTGTAGGCAGAAATAGCAGTTGTTTTTCAAATGAAATTGTGCTTTCCTGTCTTGCTGTAGCTTGATTCATTTCCCATTTTATAGCATTACTCTAAAATTACAAACTTGCAGAACAAATTTACTTCTATTTCTTTAAAAGAAAGTAACTGGTCTGCTTGCTAAATGTTTTACTTTTTCTGACCCAGGATTGATGCCCCTAGGAAGACAAGAACCTTCAGACAGTTTAGCAGCAGAAATTGTTACTCCTGAAATAAAGTAAGCTAATATGTATGCTTTGTTATGCTAACCATTATGATGTACCCATAAATGAGTGGTTTATTTCTTGATAAGTGCTGAAAAGTTTATGCAGTTAATGTTTTCTATCTCATTTTGTATTTCTGCGCAGCAAGAGCTTTTATGCTTAAGACAAAGTTCGTTTGACCTCTCTTCAGTTTTTGTATTGTGCTCCAAAAGAAGGAAGAACAACAAACTTCACCTCAGACTGTACTTTTCCTGCAGAGAGTTCATGTAACTGCAGCTTGTATGTGCTCTGACAGAATACCAGTACTTGCTGTTGCGAAAGGAAAAAATGGCTAACACTTTGAAAGGAGCAGTAGATTTTGTACCCAATTTTATATCCTAGTAAATGATTATGATTTATGAAAGAGCAGAACAGCCATGGCAGAGCTTAAAGTCATTACAGCTTAAGAGGTTGAAAGTTACATTATACCAGTAAGCTCATTCATTATCACTATAACCTGAAAAATAGGTTATCGAAAGACGGTCATGTATCAGAAATCTGTTGACACTGTAGGTATTTAGTTTTTTTCATCCCTACAAATACTGATACAGTCGTTAAAAATTGCAAAGTTCCTTATGTGGTTAAAAGCAGTGATAAAGGAGTAACTTTTTACAAAGTTAATCGTAGAATACAGTTGACTGTCTTCTATCTCTATTGATACACCTTAAATTCAAGAGCATTTCTTTTAGTTTTATTCAGGAATTGAAAAATGTTTTGTAGCAGTATTAGTGCAGACAAGACTGAACAATAGAAGACAGGAGCCATAAATGTTCTAAAGACCCAGGGACATTTTACCATCTCGTTACCTTATACTGTTTACAGATCCTCAACTCAGCCTCCTTGCCTACCATGTAGAGGCAGTTGCAGTAGCTTCCTTAGTATTAGAACTTCCTGATCTGGAGGTCTGGGCTGCTGCTTCTGTAGGTAAAGAAGGAAGGCAGCCCACCCATTCAAGAAGCAGTTCTCATGTTCCCCGCATTATGACAGGAATCTGTTCGCAAGCACCTTTCTCCATCTCATGGAGGAAACCAGTGGACTAGGTAGGAAATTTTTGCAGTCTGAGGCCTGTCAGTTGCACCTGTGTGAATCAACAAGAAACATGAGGAAAAGCAGACTCTGAAATAGAAGTAGATTCTCCAGGATCTAGCAGTATTCATTTACAACTGAGATTACAACCTCCCTTGTAAGTGCCAACTAAGTGCTTGGCACTTAGTTCTAGATTTTCTCTATTCTACCTAATAAACATGTTCTGCTATGCTCTGAGATCTAATATGGTCATTCAGGCAACTTTCTGTTGTGTTACTTTCAAAAATTATAGCTCTTTTAACTGGATTTTAATTTGGGGGCTTGAAGACATAATTGTTTTATCTGTCTCCCTTAAATAGGTAAAGAGAATCTTTACACAATCTTTACACATCCTGTGGTTATCGGTTTACAATTTCTGTAAAATTGTGTTTCAAATTATTTAGGGAAAAACTCATTCGTCTTCAGCATGAGAACAAGATTTTAAAGTTGAACCAAGAAGGTTCTGACAACGAAAAGATCGCCTTGTTGCAGAGCCTTCTTGATGATGCAAATTTACGAAAGAATGAATTGGAGACAGAGAACAGGTAAGAATTATTGTCCTCTGCCCCGCCAAGTTGCACTGATGTGCTGTACACTTTTGATGTTTCTTGTCCAACACAAGGTTCCCCAGCACAATAAAAGCATAGGCTTACTGTATTGAGTGAAATGCTAGAAGAATGTGATTGAAGTACTGCAGAACAAAAAGAATCTGAGAGATGGAGAGGCTGGAAAGAAGGCAAGCTCCGGGGGGTGTGATTAATGTTTAAAAATATCTAGTGGAAGTGCCTAAAGGAAATGGAGCTAGAGTCTTCATTATTGAGGCAGAAGAGGCAATGGGCAAGAACTGAAACACATGAAATTCTAGATAAATGTGAGAAAATACTTCTTTACCACGAGCATTGCTAAACAGTGGAATGTGATACCCAGAAAGGTTGTTTCCATGCTTGGTAATACTCAAAACACGGCAGCACATGTTCTTGGATATAGATATCCATGGAGACTGGCAAGATTCATCTGAGGATGCTAAGGTAATGCTAAGTAAAGCTGACCTTTATTTGTGTTTGGCTACTCTTCATTTAATCTTTGAAAGGTCTTGGTAGTTTTTAAGGTTTGAGAAAAGGTTGTTAGGGTTGTTAGGGTTCTGTGGCTGTGTAAAGGCAATAAGGTAGTTGTCCTCACACAGAAAGTCAAAAAGAGTTAGAAACTCTTCTCGTATATGTGGAAATAATTTCTTATGGCTTACTTCAAACACTGACTTGGAAAAGTATCAGAATGTTCTGGGAGGCTGCTGACTCTGATCTCTGGAACTGTTGTACTAAGTTCTGTTGTAAATTCTTAGTGAATAAAATGTAGTATTGTATCTCTGTAGATCTGGAAACAGTAAACCCTAAAAGTCTCAGCCATCATCTTGAAATTTTTTGTTGTGTTCTGAGGAATAAAATTTTACCTATTTCATAGATTGGTAAATCAGAGACTTCTTGAAGTGCAATCCCAGGTTGAAGAACTACAAAAATCTTTGCAAGATCAAGATTCAAAAGCTGAAGATGTAAGTAGAAACTTATCTGGGTCAAACTTATGTTCAAGTAGTTGTAGTGATTTAAACATAAAACTTTTTGTAGAGGTTTTGCTTGTTATTTAGTAAAGAATCAGACTGCTAGGGATTTCTTATTGTTTAGCATATTCTTTGTTACTGTCTTAACACTAAATTGTTCTTCTTTAAATAGAATATAAGACGAAGTACAACATTTCTGTAGGAAAAAAATACAAACATTCTATGCAGAGAAAGTATCATATCAAATATGCTTTATTTGATTAAATTTTGTCTGTTCCAATACCATACAAAGCATTGTTTAAAATTGTACAGTTAGAATAAAGAGTTTTGAGGGGAATTAAGGACATGTTAATTCTCCACATCTTAATAAAGTATCTGAAGATATTTTTGTTTAAATAGTAGAATTGAAGGTCTTTCCTGCTGGTGGATGACCTTTAATTTTTTTAATGTATCAGCTAATGCAAGAAGTTGGGCAGGCCAAAACTCAAAATGGTAAATGATTTGTCACTTAACATAATGTAGCATTTTCTGTTTCCACACACACAGTTACTTTTTTTTTTTTAATTTGAAAATATGCATCATGGCAGTTTAGCGTAAAGAACAACTTTCAGTTTTCCACTCAAAAAATGCTTTTGCCACCTCCTGTATTTGATACAAGACGCTGTCTAACTTTCTTGAAAACCGTGATTTGCGGGAGGATATGTATATACACAGTGTGCACTCACAATACCAGTGTACTCCTCTGCTACTTGGCAACAAGTTGTAATGTGTTGCATTCTATTTTTGTGTTTTTATTTTAGCTGATTTATATTAAAAAATGACAGATCTTCTAGCTGCTTATTTTCATTTAAGAGTTTTTAATTTAGCTTTTCCCATTAATTTTTAGAATAAACTGCTTGACTGTAAAGACCATAACCTGGTTCAATTGATGTTATTTTCCAAAGTAACTTAGAATGTGTTTTAGAGTGCCTTTTAAAATAGGTTCATACTGTTTTATGATTCTGATATATTCTTTGCATTCTTGTTCATTTACTAAAATCTGATTTTTCAGGATGAACAAGAATATGAAAGCACTATTCTCAGATACTGTGTATTGTAAATAGTCCCTATTTAATTGAATTCAGCATTATTTACTACACTGGAATTCTGTTCCTTTATAAAGCTCTAATTTGGACTGTAGTTTAGGGCATGTCTGCAACTTGCTTACAGGACTGATTGCAGCCTGTGTAGGCAAAATGTGAGCACCGTGGTACACTGTGCTGTGTGTGTACCAGACAGGTGTTGCTAGGCAGAGCTGGAGTTGGTTTTCAATTAGCTGTTTTCCTCACTTCTGCGTAGGTCTGACCAATCCAGTGGTGATAGATACACACTAACCTCTTGACCTGTTTTGCTGAGCTTAGTTTGTAGGCTGTCACTTCTCTTAAAGAAGCAAAAGAGTACAGAGTCAGATCAGTTGAGGTTGCAAGAGCATCTGAATCAGTGGACACTTCATCCAGAGTAACACAAAGCATAGCAAATCTCAAGGTTAAACCCAGTGTCAAGGTAATCAGATTGTCCTGGGACATCTTGAAGTTGTCCATAAGAATCATTAAAAAATGATTCTTCAGATTCATGAGAACAGAGATAAGGAGGCACACAGCATGCAGTTCATTGTTTGACCAACTTTTTTCCGATTTTTACTACTTCTCTGCAACAGTGCATTGAAATCATTGCTTTTGCATACTTAGCAGCATAAATATCATCAACCTTGAAAATTAAAGGTCCTGTTTGTATTCTTATTATTGGTGGATTTTTTTTTTTTTTTTTTTTTTGTGTGGGTGTTTTTGTTCTTTTAGTTTTGTTTGCTCTCAAAGCTGAAGTAAGTTTTAGGCTTGCTCAAGAAGCAGTAGAAGTATTTTTCTAAGCCAGACAAATGTCGTTACTAAGATCCAGGTTGGGATGCTATTTGATTTTTGTACTGAAGCTGCAGTGGAAAGAGGATGTTAGGAAGACATCAGTGATTAGGTCTGTAACAGGCACTGACACAGCATGTTGGGATTCGTGAATAGTCCCTTCTGGGTACTGGCCAGGGAGTGGCCTCCTTACTCTGATCTTCCAGACTGCCATATTAAGTGAGACATCTATGGTGTATCAGAATAGCAGGTTTGATTTGTTGTCTTTCAGAACATATACATGTGTAGGGCTGTTCAACAAGTACTCCAAACAGCCTTATGTCATTTGCATGCCTTATCACTCCTTTTCTTCCCACTTGTTATCTCTTTTTCTGTTCCCACTTGTTCTCTCTTTTTCTGCCTACTGTAAATATAGTCCTAGATAAACAACTGACCTTTGAATACTTCCACTCCTCTAGACCAAGTTCTGCTAAATCTCTAATAAATTGGGAATTTTTCATACTGTTACATAGGCAATCTTGGCTTTATATGCTAATCTTACTGCACTTACCATGTCTTACTCACTTAGCTTCTCCCTCAGAGGTCCCTAGAATTCTATTACCTGTTTGATTTCTCGTGAAGTCAGCAGCTTTGCCTATTACTCCTAGAAATCTGCTCATCCTGGTGCTTTTCTTGGCTTCTGACACTTTTAGCTGTTGTATCAGGCAGTTTTCTCAAGTCATGTGCTATAGTTTCTCTCATCCTATTAGTCTAACCTCAAGCCAGATCACAGTCATCTGCCTGCAGCCTCAACATACAAAACAAAGCCAAATTTAGACCCCAGAAAGGAGAAAGAATTCTTTTATTGGCCTGTATGCAATTAGGTACTCATAAATTTTCAAGGAAAAGGCTTTATTTTTGCAGGTGTTTTAGATGCAAAAGCTGATAGCAATTAGATATTGGGGAAAAATAACTTTTCTAAATCACTTATCAGTTGTTTCTTTTAGTGTTTTGCAAATGGAAATCATTAGCATAGGGAGAAAATAACTGAACTGCTAGTATGGATCTGTTGATTTTAGCAGTTTTATTAAAGAAATATTTTCTATTATGAACAAGTGATACACGTGAAGTTCATAATGAAGCTATTTAAAGAATAGATGAAGCCTCAGCTCTTATTGAGATTTTAAGATATTGGCCTTGTTCTGTGAGAACAGCAGTTATACCATTTAGCAGAGGATTCAGATATGTGACTTCGAAACTGACTGAGACTTTAAAAAAAAAAAAGTAATCATTACCCAGTTTTAGAGTAATTCATTTGAATTTATGTATCTTACTTATGTCTTTAGGCTGATAAAGCTGCATGTTTTACCTTTTATCCTTTTTTCCCTTCTTGTGTCTTGGGTAAATTACTCTGTCTGAGTAACTCAGTCTTTTAATAGCATGTGCTGTGAATTGTTAGCTTCTTGCTTGTAAGAGCATTCAATCTATCTGGATGGGAAGCAGGTTACTCCCTGCTGATTGGTGGCTCTACCAATCTGTATCCAAATGTATTGTAAGGATCCTCAAAACAAAAGCTGAGATCATTTCTAATTTTCTTAGAAGCCTTCAGAAAATAAATAGTCACTGCTGCCAAATTTTCCTTTTCTTGTCTAAACCAGTGGGTAGTGCTCCAAATGGTCAGACGTAAGTGACTTTTCCAATTTAAATACTTTGTGACCAAGATTTGTTGTTACTAAAGAGCTGGTGATGCAGTAGCTGTTCAGAGAACCAGAAAAAATGTAGTGGTCAAAACCTGCAGATTCCTAGCTGCTCTAAATTTATGGCCAGTCAGTGGAGTCACATTGGCTTATTTTTGCATACTCCCCCATTTTATTATAGTGTAATAAGAAAATGCAACTTTGAAGTTGACTTACACATTGGAAGTTAGAAATCATAAAATGTGACCCAGGAATGAGATCAAAGACAATATTTGGAAACTTTTACCTGTAACAAACTTAACATTTGGGGGTGATCCACACTGTAATTGTTCCTACTGGCTGGATGTCAAAACATGCACAGAATGACCACTGGAGGATAAACAGTGAAGTTTGCTGATGATGGTATTCTAAAGCAACTGTCACATACTAGAGTTCCTCTTTGGTTGGTGTAGGATAAACATAAATCAGAATCTCCATTTTGTTTTAATACTTTGCATTTGCCCTGTACTTGATCTGTGTGAAAAAAAGAACAATTCATGATCACACCAGGAAAACACATGCATCTCTTCCTAGTGGTTGTAGCCCAATAGACTGCATATTTTCTCCTGTTATGTTACTTGTGTTAATTTTTTCTTACATAACTTTACAAAAAGCAGTTGTTCTCCTTTGAAATTTTAGTTTGATTATTTATAAATGTGCTTTTTATTGTTTTTAAATTTTTTTTATTAGTGTGTTTTAGAAAATGTTGCAGTATGAAACAGCTGATGAGAATGGAGGAGAAAAATGCGCATGCCTGAAAATACGCATAGCTTTAACTTTTCTGTTCATGTACTTTCTAAATAGTTTCTTCTGTTGGCTGCTGTTTTGTTTTGTACTAATGTCATCTCTGTTTCTTGGCATGGGCTTCTGCTTAAGGCTATTGTGAGTATGGCTTTCTATTTACTTAACACTACTTTCAGTTAATAGACATTTATTGATTTCATTTTTTTTGAAAAATACTCACTGTGTATAAAGTGAGTTTATGGTTAAAAGAAAATTTACTTTGAAGCTTTTATTTGAAGAGCTTATTGAAATGTGAATTAACCAGAAAGTGGAACACTGTAAGTTGTATGAATATTTTTTTACATGTCAGTAGAGATGAGAAATAGAAAAGTTGTGAGAATATCTGCTCTGGTCCAAAGCACTTTGTTCCCTCTAGTTTCTGTGGGAATAGGAATTTGGTACAACTAACTTATTACACGTCTTCATTCAAATTGCTTTGCAGTATTGCTAAGGCGACTCTTCTAGTGAATTTTGCTGCACTTTCTATTTCAGTTTAATTTGTTAAGTCTAATTAAAACTGCGAAAGAACATTGTCCTTTATGGATCTTGCTTATATTGATCTAGTTCCTGGGGAAATATCTGTGAAGATATGAAGCATTCTAATTTCACAGTAGTCACACAGCTGTCAAGGAAAACTACCACAGAGGACAGGCTTACAGTTGTGATCTAAATCTGAGTGAATTAAAAAGGTGGATTTTGGTTAGAATGTCAAAATTGTATCTTAAAAATAATTGTGAAATTATGTTAAAGCACCACAATATATTTAAGTAACACATTTAACTTTCCATTTTAGTCAGTTCTTCTGAAAAAGAAACTTGAAGAGCATCTGTAAGTATTGTGTTAGTCTTATTTTGCTTTCCATTTAAAATGTGTTTTCCATATGGAGGGGAAGGCAGATACTTATGAATAATGCCTCTAAAAGATAAACAATCGAGAGAAACTGTTTTGCACAAGAGAGTTAGGGAATCTGCTATGTGGATGTTATTTTCATTTAATAGAAAACCCTTGACAAAAAAGTAAAAGCTATAAGCGAACCATCATTTTGTGATAATTAGAACACATAGCCTAACATTGCGTAAGAAGAGTAAGTTCTGAGGGAAACGTTTTAATGTAAACAAAAGTAATCTCTTCGCATGTTAATAGGGCATAAAGGAACATTTTAGGAAGTGCTGTTATTTTGTTCTGCTGTTTCTACTTTCTAAAGTAGATGATGATGCTCACTTTTCTTTTTGTTTGCAAGTTGTTCACGTAGTTTCTGTTTCTTTGGGATTCAGCCATTCTTTCATAATGTAATCTTAGTTACGAATATTCATTTTAGGCATCAGTTGAACAATTTACTGTAAGTTCTGAAGTAAGTTCCTAATTTTGGACTGACATTGAAGCTGCTTTTTCTCCATATACTGTAATAATTTTCAGCTTACAAATATTACAAATATTTCCATGGTGACATTATATACCTGTCCTTTGTCCTTGTGCCCCATGGCAAAAATCAGTAATGCTGTAAGAAATATATGGCTATTTGAGTTTTCTTATGTATCATTTAATGTTCATTCAATCACAGTAAGTACACAGGGAAAACAATATGCCTTTTTGATTTGTAACAGTGAGAAGCTCCATGAAGCTAATAATGAGCTACAGAAGAAACGAGCTATTATTGAGGATTTGGAACCAAGATGCAATAACAGTTGTGAGTTTACTGACATTCAGTCTATTCCTTTTATTTGTAAAGTATTTCATTTGTGAGGTCTTTAATTAGAATGCCTGTAGAAAGTGCACGTTAAACAAAACATACATTTTAAATGGCAGCCATATTTGTTGGTAATTTCTTCAAAATTGTTGCCTACGACAACAGGTGGCCAGAAAAATGATTATAATACTCAAAATGAAGGAGATGGGATGTCAAAGACCACCATGAAAATGACCACAGAAATAGCTACTCAGTATCATAACTTTTGTTGAACCTCAGCTGCTCAGAACTGTTGTATCTCCTAGCATCTTAATTTTGAAGATCCCTAGGCTATTCTTACTGACAATACATATTCCTTCAGCATGTTTTCAGATGACAGGTTAGAACTGTGTTGTAATTTGAGAAAGCTTTTAGACAGCGGTCAACAAGAGTGTTGGTTTTATATCCTATAGACAGATGGTTTCCAAACTCCTAGCATCTAGCTGTTAACGACTGATTTTTAGTACAGTCATGCTATTTATTTCTTGAGAAGTATTACTGGAGCTAGGTTGTTTTGAAGCTTACTCACTTTATAGAACAAGGCAAAAACTTGCAACCAATTTTAGTTCCTCTGGTATATGCAAAAAGAAATTCTAGTCATGAAGAGATCCAAGAGGACTGAAATATAATTGCAGTATTCATTGCACGAATCCTCTATACAAAAGGGAATTTTAATTGTGTTGAGCCAAAACTACAATATATGTTGTAAAATTCTGTCATAGCAAATGGTAGAATGCTTGGAATTGAAGATCAGGGACTAAAAGAGAAGATAATAAACTTATGATCCTGTCATATTTGATAAGCCTTAGTGTTAAGTGTAAGAACAGTTTACTGACTCTCTGACTTACAAAAATCAAGACATGTTGAAGCTGCTGTAGTTGCTCTTTCAAAATCTGTTTTTTCCTTCAGTCCCGATGAAATAAAAATACTGGCACTTCTTCACACTCAGGATAAAAGTTGTGTGAATTATTTCTTCAGGTTCTCTTAGGTGTCCTGGGTGTTTCCAAAAGGATCAGGTGTTATACAAGAATCATCCCACCATGAAAAAATGAATTCTTATAACCTCGGAGATCATCTAATTCGGTTCTCTTATTGTCCTTTCAACAGGACTTTGTCCTCTGGAATGCTGAAACGTGACTTGATCTTGTTACCAGCTTAGTGTTTTCCAAATGCTTTGAGAGAAAACTATAGGATAAACATGAAAGAACATGACAAAAATAATGATGCTAATAGACTGTGAGTTGCCAGTTGTCTAATGTTGTCTGAGCCACACACCAGTGATGTCTGCTGTTTGATACAGAATGATGGAATTGGTCTTTTTCAATGAAGATGTGTAGTTTATACAAATTATATGTGGCTCAGCATATTTTTTTAATCAGTGCAGGAAAAGGCTGTCCTTCTGGCCTTCACTGCTGTGGAAGAAGTTAAATTGAGTAAATTAATGTTGTAATTCTGGTGATTTTTTTTGTCCAGTGTTACAATTGAATGTATCTAAGCATCACGCCTGTCAATCATTAATCTCACATAGAACAGGTAAACTCATTTTTATCTCAGTTACAGTACCGAGATATTTCACAATCCATAATGTATTAAGAAACAAATTTTGTGAGTCTGCTAACTAATTGCAGTGATTTGATTCCCTTTCTCTTTTTTTTTCATGGTTTTTTAAAACAAAACTTGTGTAGTTCAATTGCTTGAGATTATGGAAGTGTACACATTTGTTCTTTTCCTGAGCTGTTTAGTAATTTGAATTATGATGTCTGTTTAATTATATTCCTTATGTATGCTTTTCTTAACTGCAGTATGCTCTAGCTTTAAATGTCTGTTTGAACTTGTGAAAGTAAACATAATGTAATTGTTGTTTTCCAATGTGCGTACCTCCTTACATTAAGCACTCAAAATTGAAGAATTACAAGAAGCTTTACGGAAGAAGGAGGAGGAAATGAAGCAAATGGAAGAGCGTTACAAAAAGTATTTGGAAAAGGCCAAAAGTGTAAGTATATTTGTTCTACATTAACGATTCCTGGCTGCACCACATGTCTAGTCTCCGGGAATAAAAAATAAAGAAGTTAACTGTATATACAGTGGTAAGAACAAGAAAAGAAATGGTGAGTTTCTGTACCATCTTACCATTATGGTACACGATATTGATTTATTCTTCAGATTTTACTCTTCTTGTGTTCATAGCTGTCCCCTTTTGCTGTCTATCTATAAGCCCCTTCTGCTGTCTCCATAAACATATATACCCATGGCAGCAAGGTTCTGGAGTCACCCAGTGAAACCTGACTTACTAAAGTCAGCTAATGACAAGGAGAAGAGTGCTAAACCTTGTCTACTGTTGTGACAACCTATTTCTTTATCAAAATTCTTCAATACTTGTATCTCTGACAGAACTATAGATTAGCTGAAGTCATGTCCATACTAGGAAATGATGTGGAATATCTGTGCTGTGTTTCACAGTCAGAGAACCACCTGTATAAACTAACAAGGGAAGAAAGCTCCACGAGCAAAAATATTTTTTAATTAGCATTTGTGCTGGGACATCTGGGGACTTCCGACAGTTTTCCTGAAGGTTATGCTTCTGTACACACAAATGTAGCTTACTGAGACTTTTTTCTTTTTTTTTTCTTATGCCTCATGTTGCTTACTCTTTCTCAGGGTATTCTGATGAAAGAGTCCTGACTTCCCCTTTCAGTAAGATTTATTTGTATGTACTGTGTTACTATGGGACGTTTTATCCAACAGTAGTATTAGTTATTTTAGTCAGGCTAGGTTTTTGTGATCTTCTTACCAACTTCCGCTATTGTTTTTTGTGTGTGTGAAAATGAATATAGTCATAGCCTTCCACTCCTGAGACTGTATCCACATCCAATGTGTATTTTCTTAGAAATATAGTACATTAAAGTTCTGTTTTATTTCAGCATCTATATATGAACCTGAAATGGGTAGAAAGGCAAATGAGAAGTCTTTTCCCATATAACCCACATTTTGTTACAAAGTTTTCAGTTTTTTTCTATTAAAGAGTTAGGAATCTAGATATTATGCTGCATTTGTTCTTGGTTTAATTCTGTGATTTTTAGTACTTAGATGCTGCCTGTAATGAATGCCACATATGAGCATACCTACCTAAGTGTACATTATCTTATTAATAAGTAAACGTCCGTGCATACACACAGCATGCTTCTTGACATCACAATTTTCTAGAAGCAGTGCCATCTGGTGCCAGGTGGCATCTTTCCAAACAATATATTTCTAAGCTGTAAAGGAGGAGATGACAGGCCACAAGTAGGTAGACAAGAGCTATAATGAGAAAAGACTTTTGAGAAAAAGTTTCCACCAGCATGGCCCATGGTAGTGCAACTAGTGAAAGGAACTGCTTATGTGGATCTGAGATACTTAACCTCTTAGGTGTCACTTTTTCCCATTAGTGGTTTCACTTTATGGTCATGTAGAGCATTAACGTACTATGGCTGATGCTCAGAGCATCTGTCTCGCAGTTTTTCAAGATTGTTTTGCAGGATTCAGCCTCCTAAAACTACACATTCCTCTGTTCCACATTTTAGTGTGTCTTTTCTTAGTATTGATGTGCTTTAAGTCACTTGCTTGTTTTCTGACCTGCCTTACATTGTAATAATTTTTTAGGGCTTTTTTTTCGTTCCATTGGATTGATTTTGCAGCATTTAATTAAGCACAAATTAATCTTATCTTACAGGTCATCCGTACCTTAGATCCTAAGCAAAACCAAGGTGCAGCTCCTGAGATTCAGGCTCTGAAAAATCAGTTGCAGGAACGGGATAGAATGTTTCATTCACTGGAGGTATTAATTTTCACATTTCCTTGTTTATGTGTATTTCCTTATTGTTTTCTAGATAAAAAACTAATACTTTTATTATATATTTTTTTAATGTATGTTTTTGTTTGTTTTATAGAAAGAATATGAAAAAACAAAAAATCAAAGAGAAATGGAGGAGAAATTTATTGTTAGTGCCTGGTACAATATGGTAAGAAACTCCAAAACTTTAAAACATGAGTTATTCGTGAAATGCCTCATTTATTTACATATAGTTGTTGTTTGAAAAGTGTTTTCCAACACACAAGACATTTATTTCTATGTTTCTTAATGTTTTCAAGTTTCTACTATGTAAGAGTTTATTCCTCTGATAACGCTGGGGTAAGCTGGAAGCCTCTAATTGCTGTCTTGTAGTTCTAGCCTTCTGTATGCTGACTTGCAGTGCCTGAATTTCTTACTTTGATTCAGCAATGTCCAGTCTTCTCATCGTTTGTTATGAAGGGGCAAAAGAAACAATAGTCTACTACTGCAGTAAGCACTCTGACAAGCAACCTCTTTAAACTTGGGTACAAATTTAGCCCCAAGTGAAGGTGAACACAGGCCTGGCACCCCCTTAAATTGTTCAGAGTATTAGGGAACAGCTATGCAACTTTTGCTGGGTATTTATGCCGAGACATTTTTCACCTTTAACAAATGCTTTCCAGAAATCTCTTTGGTAGAACATGGCTGCATTGAAGCTGCTGTTCTAATATGACCCAACTGACATCCATTTTTCATTCTTCTTCACCATGAAGTTCAAATTCCTCCTTGCTTTCAGAAGAATTTCCTTCTTGCTGTTCTATGTTCTTGTTATGTTCATGAATAGTAAGGCAAAAATAGTACTGAAGCAAAGTGTTTGAATCCTTTAAATATTGAAGGGATTTTCAAATGACTAGTGTCCTTGACCACATCTGTTGCATTACTACCACTGATGTGCAGAATACAAGGCTGAATAAAGAGATGTGTTCAGCAATCAGTTGTGAGTGCCAAGATGAGTGTTGATGGTTTTGTATATGTCCTTTCTAATTAGCCTTTACTTCTGTACACAACCCATCACTTCTCTCATTTTCTCCTTATTTGCTCCCACTGGAAACACACTTTCAAGATGTACACTTTTCCTGCTGTATGTGAGCTGGTACAGAGATAAAAATAATTTCATTGTTTTCAAAAGCAAAGTACTTTCCTAGTTCAGCGTACTAAGGGGGGTTGGGTGATAAGGGGAGGCAATTCTGGAAAGGTTTGTCCAGTTACCATGTGCTTATGTGGAAAAGTATACTGTCAGATGTGGGAATCCAAAGGACCTGCTTCTCAGCAGTGTCCTCCAAATTTGGACAGTAATTGCAAAAAATATTGAGGACACTGTAAAGGATCAGGTAGAATGTATTTGTCATGCCTTTAAAAATGTTATGTTTGAAATCCAGAAATTCAGAACAACTTAGTGTTGATGGAGATGATAAAATATAAATGAATAAAATTATCAAGTGTTGTGTTTTTTTTTCTGAGAAGTTTATTTTTGTCCACAGGGGATGACTCTGCATAAAAAAGCAGCAGAAGACAGGCTGGCAAGTACAGGCTCAGGACAGTCCTTCCTGGCTAGACAAAGGCAAGCCACGAGCACAAGGAGATCATACCCTGGTCATGTCCAGCCAGCAACTGCAAGGTAGAGAAGGCCTAGCCCCTAGAAAGAAAATTGCCCTGTGATTCAGGCCACTTCTATTGCAAATTACAACATTCAAGAAAAAGCAACCAGCATTTTTTTTCACTTTTTCCCTTGTTACCACCCTTATTTTACAGTTCAGGAAAGGATTTTATTATGGTTTCTCATTGTTCTATAAAGGCCTTTGCTTATATTTTTGGGAGTCCATCTCTCTCTTTCTCTGCATTTTTCTGAATGTGCCAAAGTTTTGAAAACATCTAGCTGTACAATAATGGAACCTTGTAAGTTTATATGAAGCCTGGTCTCTTACAAAAAACCTCCTATGGGTTGTCTAACAGTGTACATTTCCTGTCACAGTTGATATATTTGTGCCTACAAGAGTTGTCACACTTTACAAGACTGCCTTTATTTAAAAAGAATTAGACCCTTAATAGTGTGCTAACCAGTTGTTTCAAAGAAGACTGAAAACTCAAAACAGAAATGGGAAATTAGTATATATTATTATTGTAAAATGTTTGCATCTGAAAGGCTTATTGGCAACAAAAATGACCTTTGCTTTTATTTTTTTTTTTTTTAATTTTTAATCTCTTATATAAAAGGTTTCATCTTGTTCTTGGCGTAGAGTAGGGAAGCAGGATGATTTTTTTTTTAAAACTTTTGTTTATCCACTAGTGTTACCTGTTTGCTGGCAGAACTGAATATTTTCAAATAGCTTGTCCCATTCTTCTTGATCAGTTATATGCATAATACGTAGTATTAAAAAAACTGAAAAATATTTGAATGCTTTAATATGCTACTGCATCTTCCATTTTAAAAAGGCATTTTTATTAAAATTTTACTGTTTTGGACTTGCAGTACATAATAGATCAAGGCCTAAGTTAATCTTGTTGATGTTGCTGTATTTCGGTTGTCATCCCCTGCTAAGCAACTTGCTTTTAATATGTTGATTCAGGGTATAATTGTATCCGTTGCCTTACTAATGGTACCAGTGCCTTCAGGTGAGCATGTTGCTGACTTTGGTGAAAGCTGGCTGTGATTTGCTGCCTTCTTAGCATGTAGCTGGTTGAAAGTATGTTACTCTCTATTACCTTTATATTGATCAGTCAGGTGGATGGTGGCTCCTGTGATTAATTTAGGCCCTGATCCTACAAAGTTCTTCTTTTTCCTTGAGTGATTCTGTGCTTTGGCTATCTTTTTTTTTTCAAAGAATGGTCAGACACAGGAGGCCTGAGTGTCAGCAGGAAGTTTCGTGTAGTACATCTTACTTTAAACATTTATAATTTAGAGACTGTACCCTATTGCTCCATGCAGTCTGGTTTTTATATTTATTCTCTTAGCTTATTTTAATGCCCTTCTGAGTGAAGATTTTTTTCATAAATACCCAATCTGCAATTTATCAGGCATCTGAATAACTGTATTAATCACAAGATAGATGGGATGGGCGAAACATTATTAAACAAGCACACCTGGATTAAAGGGCAAGGAACAGGTGAACGACACTTGTAGGTACTCTTTTATCCTCAAGTACATCATCTGTATTAGTCTAGGCTAAGAATGCTTTCAGTATGTATCTAAAAAAGTGGCAGTTCTGATCTTTTTCTACAGTCATTCGAAAAGCATAGGAAGTCTATTATCTGCATATAGATTTGTGTTCTATGCTTTGCATTTGGAAAAAAAAAAAATTTCTAAAAATTCTCTTTATTCGTTCAACGTAAGAAAAATCTGGGCTATACTTGTAGGATAAAGCTGAGACAGAAAACGTATGTTCTTGTGTGCAGAAAAGTAATGATGTAAAGGCAGTTTAGATCAATTTCTGTCCTTTTGTGTCTCTTACTGAGATGCCAGATGCTAGCAGGACAAAAAAGTCATACGTAAATCTTGAAATCATAGGTAAATCACCTACCAAAGTGACCACTGTTTGTGTGAAGTATTTTACTGATCTTTTTTTGTGCAATCCATTATAGTTATTTGAAGAACTTTTTTCTATCTTGAAATTTTTATTTGTCTCCTGTGTGAACGGGAGCAAAGTCAGCTTTTTGTTCTTGTTTGAGAGTGCAGCTTTTTATATCACCTAGAGGAAGAATAAAAAATTAGCTAAAACACCATCTTTATTTTAATGTTATCAAACTGCCAAAGCAAACTTGTGAAAGAAAGAAATATCGTGACCTTAGTGGGAAGTATTATCTTATAAATTTGTCTAAAAATTTCATTTGTTGTTGCTATTAATTAAATGCATGCCTAACATAACTTAAATGTAATCTGTGCACTAGAATAAAACTACTTGCTTTTATTATTTTAACTTCTATTTTACCACTTTGCCCCCAAAGTTCTGATGACAGATGGATGCCTCTGATGGCTAGGAGATGGCAGAGCTTCTAACCAGTATTTTTACTTTGGCTTTTAGTCATGGCTTCTTTCCTCTCTTCATGGTTGCTGGCTTATTTTTCTACTCTGTGGGAATCTCCTCTTTTTGACTGGGCTTTCCTTTTCCCATAAGATAATATGTTGAAAATACACTGAAGTGTATATTCAACAGAACTTGCATTAAGTATAAAAATATAAGAAATATATTACAATCCTACAGGTATACTTCTAAGGATAGTCTTTCTATCCATTTCCATTTAGCTATTTGTTTAGTCTTTTAACGGTCATCGGTGGGGATTCAATTCTTTGTTTGCATTTTCCTTTTATTGTTTATTGCATACATCCAATTACTGATCATTGAATGTGGATGGTTCTTAAGAAATATTGCTGGTAATGTAGCTTTGGAAGTAGTGTGCTATTAAAAAATAAGGGCTCAGTGTGACTTGAAGGAGAAATTCAGAAGAGCTAGCAGTGAATGCTGTCTATTCTTCATATTATCAGTGAAAGAATATAGCAAAAAAAAAAAAAAAAAAAGAAAAAATTAAAATGGAGTTATCTTGATACAATATATACTTCTAAGAAACTTCCAGGAAGATTTGTTTGGACGCAGCAGACTATTGACATCAAAACTGTAGTGATAATTGTTAAAACATTATAGGCTGTCCTGATAAATTACAGAAGCAAACAAAAAAAAACCTTGTCTAATTTCAGGGTGGCCTTAAAGGTTCTCCAGGATAGTGGTAAAACAGCTGAAGAATTCCTAAGAATAAGAATACATTCCCAAGTACTGTGCTGAGGATATGACATAGTCATCTTGGGACATTTCAATTAAATAAAAGGATATCAATTAAATACACAAAGATGTTCATTGTTTAGAGTTGAAGCATAGTTTCTCGTATTAAAGAATGTGTGTGCAGTTTGGTTTCTACACTTCCATGTTCAGTTGTTAGCATAAATGAACAGATGTTATAAAAAAAAATAGCATTCAAATTGCTCAGGTTTCTTACTGCATCACTTAGCCACTTGAATCATAACGTATGTTCCAAGTGCAGTGACAACTGGAGTAATCTAATGTAAGGGTTGTGAGTCCCACCCACAGTGCAAGGGGAAATAAACTGTCAGAGCACACAGCTGTATATTTTATTTAAATCAAGCAAATACCTTATTGGCTACAAGGTGTTTTTCAGTATCTCTTTGGAAATAAGTAAATGGTAATCTTGTGCTGTTCTGATGTTGGTAGTAACAACTCTGCAAGTGCTTTATTGCTTTTTATTCGTGTAAGCAGCACCATTGGTTTTTTCATTGCATATGGAAGAATTAACGCTGACAATTCCTACTGCTGCTTTATGATCATCTCACTAGTAAGTGCTGTGTGCAGGCGTTAAGAAAATTTATGAGGATTTGTTGATTTTAAAGTCTATGATATTTTGACAGGTGCAAGTAGCTTTTGCTTTTCCTCAGTTCTCCACTGTATTAGGCTATACACTTCATAGCTTCCTGGATGATTTTTAGTGCATTCAGTTATCTTGATATGTTGATGCTTTCTGTAGATAGATAATTGGAAAATATTTTAAGCTCACCACTTGATTTTCTTCTGGTTAGTGATTGACTGAAGACAGTCCTGAATGTGGCTATTTTTTTTTCTCCTCTGATGAAACAAAAAGGTTACTGAATTATACTCATTTTTTAGAGATTTTTTTTTCTTCCTGGACATTTTGTCATTTTACAAGGATTGATGAGGGAGCTATTTTTGCACTCAAAGTCAGATCTATAATGCTGACTTCTTGTGGGTTTTTGCACATGTGTTTTAGGTAGAATGTGTGGACTCTTGTTTTGGAGATGTCAAAGCTTATCAACATCGTATTATTGCAGAACAAGTTTAGCAAACTTTGCAGGCATTTTCCTCATCTGTGTTGTGCAAATAAATAGCTAAAAGAGGTTCCTTTGACAGGAAAGCTCTTAAGTGATGTTTTTTCTAGCTAGCAAAGCAACTAGTTGTACTTCAGGGGTGTTACCTGCAGAATAGTGTGAAAGCTAGATTTTGATTGATATGTGATCTCAGGAAATCCCACGCTTATGAGGAAAACCTCTTCAGAAGTCCTCACTTAGACCAACAGTATTAACTGATTCTGGCAGTGTGATATACTTAGTGCTCTGTTAAAATGGAGAGGTGGATCATTATAAATGTAACAATTTGAATGTGAAGATTGCATAGGCATGAAATTTGATGAAGTTGTGAGCCACAAAAAACTGCATGCAGCCTAGACATGTCCCCTCCCAAGTAAGAGCAATCCAACTCTCTTTTGCATTGGCAAGGGTGTTGCTTTCCTACTTTGTACCTTTCATCAGGAGAAAGAAGCAGACTCACAATACTGCATGTGCTGGTGCAGGAGCAAGAAGTGGCAAGGAGTGAGTCTTACTTGCATTTGGAATGACTTCAAGCCAGATAATTTATCTGAGGGCAGGCTGAAGGAAGTTCCCAATCTGTATGTAGGATCCTAGCCGCATCACAGGCTGATAACTTTGAAGGAATTGAGGAAACTGTATGGCATGGCTGATTTTGTTACTTTGCTCCTGTGATGTTTCTTCACTCTGGAAGCTCAGACTAAGAGCAGTAGCCTGTTAATAGCTGTGCAGGCTGTAAGTAAAAATAGGAGTTGATTTCTGTGGTTTGAAGGTGGAGTGGCAGATGCAAACAACTGTTAAGGACAAAAATCTGAAGAGCAAGATGTCTTTCATAGTTTTGCTTTATGGTGGTAGTTTAAAAGAAGTGGAACCTGAGCCTTTGTAGCTAGCTGTTCATTTTTCTAATTAATTTTGAATCACAGTTGATTTAAGTATGGGAGGCTTTGCTTATTTAAGATAGAAGCTGTGATTATCGAACGCAGCCACCTCAGACTTCTTTCATCTGGAATAGCAAATTCCTGTAGATTTTCTCAGCTGACAGTCTTATTTCAGTGTTTGGAAATTATGACGACTTGTTCTGTTTCTGCTTGACTCTGCTTTAGTGAATTCACTGAAATATTTGGCTACAAAGATGATTTTTAAAATATATCAGCTCATTAAATGAATTGATGCATGAACTCACTGATGAATGTAGGTTGAAAATGAATGAATGACTGTAGATAGAGAAGACACAGAAAAGTTGACATATGAAATAGTCCCACAGTACATTGTACCAACACTTGGCAGTATAGCCAAGGCAGATACTCAAGCAAGTTATTTTGGTTTGGTATTTTATTGTGGGCCAGTAGGAGCTCATGATAAATACTGTGATGGACGTCCTTATCCAGCAGTTGTTAGTGAATGATTTTGCTATTGACTTCATTACAGACCATGTTCTGGTCTTTGCTTTTAGACCTTACCAAAGTAATGGGGTTGTCCTGAAGTAAATCCTGCATTAGTTGGTTTTGATGTCAAACCAGGGATTTCTATGGGTGCTGTTTGCTGTGTATATACAAGATCATTTTGAAAACTGCTAGCTATCCTTCAGTAGCACTGTGTGTTGATTTCAAATTGAAACCTGTTCCTTCTGTCAGATAAAATTTTCTTGTTGCTGTTGGATCTCAGCGAATGAGCTATATTACATGAAAAATGTTGCTAGAAGAGGTAAAGTTGGGACAGCAATGCTAGGACAGTTGGGACAGTGTTTTTTGTTGGTGACTTTGTTCATTGCTTCACACTAGAGAGGTTCTTTACTATCAGATGATGTTAGAGCAAAATGGTTGTTTTAATCTTCTCAAAAGCAATCATTTTTCAGCACTTTGAAGTGCTGTTAACTGCTGTAGTGTGGCACAAATCTGAAATACTGCAAGAGCAAGTATTTCCATTGGCCTAAGGATTGTTCTCCAAACAGAAGAGGAATCACTAAAGATTATCCCTAACTTCAAGAGATAAGAAAATCAACATGAAGGCCACTTGTTAGATTGTTAACATGCTTGTATTGTAAGCATGGTCATGAAAGAAAAGAAAATCCCAAATGGAGTAATGCAGAGAGAGTTATAGTTGTGATAAAAGCACTAGACTTTCTGATTCGGATTTGAATAAAGCATCCCTTACATAATACAGGTTTTTATAAAGCAAAGATTTTAGTTCTTAGTCATCAAAGGTGAGTAACAAGGAGAATAAACTTATTTCTTGAGAGTATCAGTGGTTTTGAGAGAGATCTTAAAGTCTGTATTTAACAGTACCAGTAAAATCTTTGAATAGTAATAAACATGACATTATAAGCCACACGTCTTAGAATTTATAGTCCACTTTGTATTCTGTAGTTGTAGAAATTATAAAAATGTGAAGTGGTGTTGACATGGCTCTGGAATATGATATGATGAGAGGCTTGTTTAAAATGTCTAAAGGAGATAACGTGGAGAAAATGTAGAAAGCATACGTGTAGGAAGAAAAAGAAACTACTGGTAGTAGTAACCAGTAAGTAACATTAAGAAATCCGCAGAAAGAGAAATCTAGGGGCAGTTAACTTAAAGTAGATGCTCGACAGAAATATTTGGGAAGAGTCTGGTATTAGACCTCCAAGTAAAATTGCTGTGTTGCTCTTCTTACTTTGGTGATTGTATTGCGAAATACTGGTTACAGACAGCGGATTGGCTAGGAAGCCTGATTCCCTCTTAAGGCTCCAAGTGTACACTGAATAGGAAAAAACATGGTTGCTTAGAAATAAGATGTGGTTGGGTTTTTTTGGATCACATTTGCTTTGTATGAGCAGTGTTGTTAGGGAAGCGACTTGATACTTGCCTCCAGAGCTGGCTGGTGGAAAGAGGAAGCCCCTGACCTTTCTGAGGCTGTAGTGTGCTGGAGTCATCCCAGTGAGTAGAAAAAATGCAGGATGACAGAGAAGTTAAGGAGGTTGTAAGGTACTGATTGACTCTTGTAATGAAGTAGAGCTAATCAGTTCTCACGCTGAGCACTGGAGAGAAGTGTCCCTCTGAGAAATAATCCACCAAGGTAATAGTGAGCCTTCAGTTATTTGTAACTAGAATATTTTGGACTGACAAGAAAATTAAAGTCACTCCTTTGCAGACAGGTCATCTGCAAAATAATCTGACCCGGTCTGGAGACAGTGCAGAGGAAACAACAGGTTATGTTAAGGGAATGTACTGTCATATTTCACATTTGTCATCTTCTGGAGTATTGCAGCCTTCACAGGTAGATTTTGCAAGTATTGATTCATCTTCAGAGGTACTCACAGACACAAAGAAATCAACAGGCAATTATTTTAGAACAGTGTAAGAAACTGCTTGTTTGAAAAGGGCACTCAAATGAATCAGGGGATTTGATATATCCCTGAAAGAGAATATACTGCCCAAAGTTGATAAGACCTCTCTAGAAGTGCTAGTGTCCCAAAGAAAAGCCTATCATATCACATTTATGTACAGTAGGACACCTGAAGCACTGCTAAACAGCAAGTCTGAACGATGTACAGGAGATGCTCCAAAAGTAATGCCTCCTGTTTTATGATGTCAGTCCATGACATTGGAGGCGAATGTTAGTAGTACAGCAGAAGAGGTGGATCCTTCCCACCAGCATCTCATCACATGTTGTTGCTGCGTGACTGATGGCAGCAGAGGAGCACTCTGATACGGTGTCTGAATGCAGGAGTATAGGTAAAACAGAGGTGTTCAGCCTAATTCCTTCATGTGTAAAAAATGGTAGCCACTGACATTCATCCGTACTTGGTGAATTTTTATGGAGACCAACCCAAAAAAAAGAGTGATTTGTAGCTGAGAATGAGCTCTATCAATTAGTATTATTATACTCTGTCTCCCTGTTGTCATTTCTGTGAAAATAGAAGGCATTATTTTTGGAGCAACCCACATAATAGGTGAATTATAAAAGTAGATTATACTGATCTATACATAGTACAATAGATGTATTCTTATGTAGGATGAACTTTTCTTTTTCTATTGACTAACTACAGTAGTATTAATGTAGTTAACCCTGAACTCTGTAACTTTCTGCACTCAGCCAGGCAGTGCAAAGCTAGCATAACTGCAAATCTCAAGCAGACAGAATCACCCCAATATACATTCAAGGTCTGCTTCGAATGTGCTCTTTTAAAGCATTTTCTATTTTTGTTCCATTTTGATTTGTGTATGTATCTTTCTGTTTGTTTTTCGACTACAGTGAGTGTTCTGGGTTGGTGGATGAGGAGAAAAAATGAGAGATTTACAAGCTGCAGAAGCTGTAGCTGAAGGGTGGGGTTGGTTTTTTTGTTATTTTTCAGTAAATCCTTGCATTTAGCTATAAATATTCTTCATTCTGGGTTTTCCTGTCACCGGAACTGTCATTAAAGCTTGATCCCATGCAGTTCTAGAGTGGAAGAAGTAAGGAAAGCAACAGTTTGCACAGCATGATTTCAGTTTGGTGGAGATACTTTTCTTTTTGTTATCGTCGTGAGTGAAAATGAGAAGGGGCAGTTAGTGCTGTGCCATGCTGTGTTACGGGGGGAATCTGAAAGCACTGTAGCCATGTTGGTAAAGTCCCACCTCTCCAGTTCAGTTGCCATGAGGAAGAGTTATCAGCAAAGATAGAGCAATGTGCCAACCTATCTGGCTGTTCTTCAGACTTAGCTTCGTTTACACAGTACTATGATGTGCCCTTAGTGCTGCTCAGTGGCACCTATTCTGTGTATTTTAACAAGATTACCTATTATATTCTTGTTATTAAAACCTGGTTTTGCAATTAATGGAAATTGCCAGGATAAAAGATGGTACTGATGCTGTTTTATCATCGTGCACAGGATTAGCTTTAGTAAACATTTAAAGTGTTCATTGGTGTTCAGAGCTTGAAGGCTCAGGCAGAGCCATGCTGACCCTGTTGTGTTTTAGTGTATGACTGTGCACAGCATCGGACAGGCAACTTTCACTTTATATTGTGTTGTGTTTTTTCAACTAGTTATAAGCAACAGGAATGCCAGAAGAGCCTCCTTAGTTTCCATAGCTGTGTTAGTTGAGAATGGTGCCCTGCAGGTCTTGATGCAAAAAGGTCTAAATTTTACTGAACTATTTCTAAATTTAGGCTTTGTTCAAAGCTATTTTGTCTCTCTTTCCAATTTTGACATATAATCTTCCTGTTAATTTAAGAGTTGCTCTGGCAAAGATGTTTGCCCCATGAATTTGCACAGCTGTAAGGAGAGGCAGCCTTACTGAGCTACTTTGCAAATGCCTGTTCTATTCTCTGTTGTCTTTTTTTTTTTAATGATAATGTTATCTGCTTTTTAACTTTCTTCTTTATTCTTTTATTTGCAGTGATGTGGTTGCATGACCTGCAGCATTATTATAACAGGGACTGTTCAGTGCATGACTTGCTTTTCTGTCCAGACTGCATAACCAAAACTTAACCAGTTCTACACTTACGGGCATCTGATTTCAAAGGGAGATCTACTTGCAGAGAAGCTTACCATCTTGGGGAGTGGCTTTCCCATTTTCTGCTTCCATTTACTCTTTCTCTTCACAAAAAGTCTCCTGTGGGGCTAAAAGAGCGGAAACCCAGTATTCAGAACTCTACAGGAGGCGTTCTGCAAACTGACAGAGCACTGTCAGCTCTACATTTACTTCTGTCTGTCCATTTAATTCTGATTGATTAACAGCATTAACACACAGACTTCCTGCAACATTTGCATATTCTGAACTATAAAAATCTAGTCTTAACGAGTTCCTAAAAATGCCTTTTGGTGACTCTTAAAACTTCAAAGCACCTGCACCCTTAAAAGATATACCTTCAAATAAATTAAAAATGAAGTCAAGGAGGTGTGTTACTAGGAGGAGCGGCTGCTTGGCCAGCCCATCTTCCTTAGGAAGCCGAGCAGGGTTCATCAGATAAACTCTGAGACAGGCAAACGACTGTGCAGTCCTTTGTTCACAGACACTGCCTGCTTCCTTACTATGTATATACACAGTAGATTATGGCTGTTGTATTTTTCTCTATATATTTTAGCCGTGTCGTCTGTTTCTTTCAGAAACTTTTTATTTCCACTCTGTGTACAATTGTTAAACAATCCAAGGAAAGTACGTGAATGGGGATAAACGTGAAAGCTGGCCACACTTTCAGTATTATGCAGATTGTCCTTGACAGTTTATAATTTGGGTTGTTTGTATTTTACCTGTACTATTTTTTTTCTCTCATTATTGCAGTCTTAGCTATTTCATTTCCAGTTGCACTAGTTTGGCTGTTTCTTTGTATTACAAAGTTTAGCTATAAGATTTTTGCAATATTTAGACAGTATAACTCAAAATGCTTCCTGCTGCCTTTATTAATTTTTAAAAGCTGCTTATTTAATATTTTTAAATATCTGCACATTTGTACTACTGTATCTTTGTTCTGTGCTGGATGCCCAGTACTGGCAAGATCCAGAAGGCAAGGGAGTACTGTCGTGGTGTAAGTTAGGGTGTTTGTTGTGTAGCAGTTAGCATGTAACAGGTCAGATGAGGCCACAGGGCCCTCCACAGCATCTGAAAAGAATCCGAATGAAGAAAACCATTAGTTTGTTCGGTTGAAGTCCAGTTCTTGAGAAACCCCATTCTTGCTCACTTGGATCTTAATCCTGCAAAAATATATGCATGAGCTTACTCCAGGAATAGTTTTGCTTATTCAGGCAGTAGTGTATCGGTGAGCCCTGCTTTCCACCTGAGCACCCTATATTGGAGACATGGTGTGCCTCCCTGCAGGCACACGGGGCCTTGAAAGGCTGTGCCCTCGCCTTGGGACGCCAGAGGTGCTCGGCCCTCATAGACCCCTGCGCTGGGACACCTGAGGTGCTCGGCCCTCAGGCACCGTGCCTGCTGCAGCAGAGGGCTGGAGAACAGGCAGAGCCCGTCCCCGTGCCGCCTCAGCAGGGTAGGGCAGGTTGGGCTGCAGCAGGCCCTGCAGGAGTCGGAGGGCCAGCGTGAGGATCCCAGTGAGAAGCGTGTGCGGGGTTCCCTCCTGGACACCGTGCCTGACACCATAGCAGACAGGGAGCCTGCGGCTGACAGCCCATTGGGACTCCCACATGGGGATATGTCTTTCCTGGTCCACCAGGACCTGGGGCAGTGACGTCTGATGTGACCTGCAGGACAGATCAGGGCCGTGACGTGTCACACGTTCCTGCAGCAGTGCCAGCGGCACTTCCATCGGACTGAGCCTAGCAGAGCTAAAGGGTTTTCATCTCTCCAGGTCCTAGCCATCGATCCCTCGCTCTGTGTCAGGGCAAGCTTTATAGAAAAACCTCCTTTCTGTTGTGTGTGAGGCATAGTTTGTTTCCCATCGCCAGCGCAGCTTCAGCTGGGAGCACCCTTCTCCAGGCCGAGCTGGGAGCGGGGCCGGGGCGGCCCTGCGCGGGGTGTGCGGGGATAGCTGTTTGTCACACCTGCCTGCAAGGGCATCCCAAGCTGAAGCTGAGCTGTACCTCATTTCTCCATGTGGTCTGTGCGGTTAGAAACTACATATCAGTTGTTATTGAGCCTGAAGACATTTATATGTAATTGTGTTTAGCTTGACAAAGCGTGTTTGAGTTCACTGAAGCGGTGGCGAAGAGCCACGTCTCTGCGTGACCTCCAGCATGTCTCTGGTGTACTAACTTCATTTATGCTGCGTAGAAACTCTTCTACTTCCTTCATAGCAGCTTGTTTGACAGTCCCAAATTAAGTGTTGACCAATTATCGAAGTAACTGTTTGTGAAGTTGACAGTGATATATTTTCTGTAAATTAATGGATTTATAGAGTGTCAAAACATAAATTTCCCATTTTGATTCATCTATGAGTTGTGTAACTACCAGATTGTCATGGTAGCAGTATTAATATACATATCTGTACATAGACAAAAAAAAAAATACTCGGTAATGGTCATTAGAATCAAAAGGTTTAATATTTTTTTCCCAGTCAAATACACTAATGCTTCCAAGGTTACAGAAGAGTGTACAGTTGTTAAACAAGTTGTAAATAAAGGCTTATATAAAATAAAAGTGCTTGTTTTGCCTTTCTTTGGTACTGAATTACTGAAACTGAGGCCAACATACAGTTCACGACCAAGTTACCGGTTCACAATAGCTTACTGCTGTTTGCAGTAAGCGATGACGGGTGCTGGCAGCAGCCTTTATACTCAGTCACTGTTTAGCACAGACTTCAGCAGGGTGGGAAGAATGGGGATAGTGTGACCCTTGCCTTTGAAGAATGCTTATGTCAGCCATTGCAGAACAAACTACCTGTATGCTTTGCTTCTGGAAAGACCAAGGCTGACCTATGGGTGTAACAGAACTTCGTCTTGCTAATGGAAGTTTAGCTCTAGAGATAACAAAGCAGGAAAAAACCTCTCTGCTGATATGGATGAGAAAAATTATCCTTCCTTACTGCATTAATAAGCAGCTTTGCTCTTTGGGGTGGGAGAGCTGAGGAGGAGGGATCAGGCAAGCAGTGTTGGACGTGAGTGAATATTGCTTGTGAGAGGACAACAGCTAGGGAGAGAGATGGAGCCCATATGTATGTCATGTGTGATACTGGGGCTGAGAAGGATGTGCAGAGATCCTGAAGCCTCCTGCAGCAGTAGCAGGCTGGTTCTTACACTGCAGCGAAGAAGAAACACCCCAGGTGAGTGTGGAGGGTTGGCCACAGGGAAGAGGAGACAGGCCCCCAAAGTGCAGTCCAGCTCTCCTGAGCCTCAGGCAGTGTGAGCTGGAGGCAGAAAGCTGTCAGAGTCTCATCGTGGGCTGGGTTGTCAGTGGAGATGCTGTGTGTGACCACTGTAGGGCTTCTTGGGGATGTAAAGGTCAAAGGCAGCCTTGGCTGTAGTGATGATGAAGTGGTGGAGTTCATGATCCTTTTGGGGGTGAGGAGAGTGCACAGAAAGCTCACAGCTCAGAACCTGGCTTTTCAAGGAGTTGCTTGGTAAAGTTATGTGGGATGAAGGCTTGGAGGAATGAGGGGCACAAGAATGTTCGTTAATAATCGAGGATCATCTCCTCTAAGAGCACTGCATCCCCATGAGAAGGGGAAAAATGTCAGGAGGTCTGCATGGATAAGCAAGGATCACATGGCCAGGCTCAGACACAAAAAAGAAGTGCCCAGAAGGTGGAAGTAAAGACAGATAAGATGGGAGGAGCACAGAACATCCAGGGCTGGAGTTAGGAAGGCTAAAACCCATTTGGAGTTGAATCTAGCAAGGGAAGGCAAGAAGAACTTGTCACAGTACATCTGTGAGGGAAGGTAAACTAGGGAAAACACGGGCCCATTGCTGAAGCAGAGCCTTCTAACACAGGGAAAAGGATATTTTCTTCGCCTCAGTCTTTACAAGCAAGACTGACCCTCAGGAATCCTTGGTCCCAGAGGCCAGGCTGAAGGGCTGGAGCAAGGAAGATGTATCTTTGCTGGAAGAGGATCAGGTCAGGGAACACTTCAGCAAACTGGACCACAGGCCCTGATGGGATGTACCTACTAGTGCTGAGGGAGCTGGCAGATGCAACTGCAAGGCCACGGTAGATAATCCTTGCTTGACCGTGGCACCTGGCTGGGGTGTAAGACCATTAGTGAAAGCCTGAGCCAGCAACTACAGTTCTCCTTTACATTTCTCCTTTTGCATTTCCCCAACAGCCTTTGAGGACAGAACAGTTGGAGTCAGCTGCACATCCTATTTATGTGTGTGAAGCGAAACTCATATGAGCCACAGTAAAGGACAGGAGAGGAAGTGATATACCTGTAAGTCATCAAGGAGGCTGCTCCTAGCTCATGTCCTGAGGCCCAGGAGGCAGTGGAGCTCTTTGTGATGCTAGCAGGGCACCCCTTTCACCTTTTCTCCCTTGGGCAAACACCTCTGCATGCGAAATGCCTGCACCTATGACATGCACTTTCTGCATCAAAAGTTAGCATTCAGAAGTTGCTTAGAGCACAACTCCATGTCTACAGGAAAAGCCTCACAGAGCTGGGGAGGAGAGTGGAAGAAAGCCCAGCTCCTTCCCCAGAACACCTGAACCTTCCCAAAAACAGCCCACATCACCACCAGTCCCAACCCCAGCCTCCAAAGGGACGGTGAAGGCAGGCAGTATTTACTGGCAAAGTTAAAGAAGAGGTGGATTGGAAGCTAAAACACATTTTCATTCTGTTTGTCATGTCACGTTGTGCAAATGTTTTTCTTCGATGTTGTATTACAGATTAAAAAAAAAAAAAAAGAAGAAACAAAAAAAGCTCTTGATTAAAGCAGATCACAGGAGTTTAAAACACATCCTGATTAGAAGATGGTAGAATTCCAAATTGCCAGTGGACACTCAGCTTGCTGACTTGCTTCCCTTGCACCATCAAATAAGCCTATATATCTCAGTTGCTGTGTATTTTGGTAATGGAAACATGCCTTCCACCTGCCCCAAACACACTCATTTCCAGTCCATTTCTTGCTTGCTCCAGACCAACATCTGGCTGAACTGCTTCCTTGCCAGCAGTGTGAGGAATGCTGTGTGTGCCACCACTCAAGGCACAACTCAGCTGATGATGGGCCCAGCAAGGCACTGTTGCCCAGATGTGAAGCTGCACCTTAAAGAAGCGTGTATTCATTCAAAACCTTTGTGAGCACTTCCACCAGTTTTACAGAATGGTTTGGGCTGGAAGGGACCCCAAGGATCATCAGGTTCCAACCCCTCAGCTGCAGGCAGGGTTGCCAACTGCTAGATCAAGTACTAGGTCAGGTTGCCCAGGGCCCCAACCAACCTGGCCTTAAAAACCTCCAGGAATGAGGCATCCACCTCTCTGGGCAGCCTGTTGGAGCACCTCACCATCCTGAATGAAAACTTCCCTGACACCTAATCTAAATCTGACCTCCTTTAGTTTAAAACCATTCCTCTTTGTCCTATCACTATGAACCCATGTAAAAAAATGATTTCCCTCGTTTATAAATCTATTTTAAAATACTGGAATGCTGCAGTGACACCTCCCCACAACCTTCTCCAGGCTGAACAAGACCAGCTCCCTCAACCTGTCTTCAGAGGGAAGGTGTTGCAGCCCTCTGAGCATCTTCATGGCCTTCTTTGGACTGTCTTCAGCAGCTCCATATCTTTCCCATATTGGGGGCCCCAGTCCTGCATGAAGTACTCCAAGTGGGGCCTCACAAAGACAAGAGAGGGACAACCCCCTCCCTCTCCCTGCTGCCACCCCTCTGCTGATGCAGCCCAGGACACTGTTGGCCTTCTGGTCTGCAGGCTCATGTCAGTTTTAGACTCCCAGGTCTTGGCAGGGCTGCTCACAGTGAGCTCCCCCAGTTCATGCTCATCCCTGGGATTGCCTCAGCCCAACTGCAGCACCTTGCACTTGACCTTGTTTAATTACATCCAGGTCCCTCTGGATGGTATCCCTTTCTTCTACTGTGTCAACTGTATTGCTCAGCATGGAGTCATCAGCAAACTTGCTGAGGGTGCACTCAATCACACGTCATTGATAAAAATGCTGAAGCGCACTGGTCCCAAGACAGACCCCTGGGGAATACCACTCATCACCAGCCTCCACCTGGACACTGAGCTACTGACCACCACACTTTGGCACAACACTCCAACCAATTCTCCACCCTTCGAAAGCATCTCTCTGCAATTTAGAAATAAGGACTCTATGAATAGTAGTGATGAATGAACACACACACACAGGCTCCACTGAACTCCAAGCATACTCCCTGGCCTGAGATGGCAGGAGGTAGTTGACTGTTTTTTTTTTAACCCACTGGTTAAGGGTGATGCCTAGGCATACCTTTAAATGCAAGTCACCATATGCTCTGCTTCTGAGCACAGACGGTATTGGTTTACATCCCCTAAATGGAGTCCAGAAATGATGCCAGTGTTAAGAGAGCAACCACACAGATGCAGTCAGGGCTCACGCTGAGGAGAGTCTGCTCTACACATACTTTTTTCTTATGTGAAGTTGGATCCACCTACCTGTGGGGAGACTGGGATTGCAGCCTTCTTCATCTGCCACAGTGTGCAAGTTGCTAACTGCATGCACATGAATTGCCCAGCACTTCTACATGAACTGACCTTGTATACAGCCACAGATAAAGACAGCTTCAGAAAATTCTGGAGCAAAACTGTGCATAATACATCAACAACAAAGAAAATCAACCGAACAACAGTCTTGAAAATGCTTTATTGAACCGTGTGTCTTACTGTAATGTGCAGAAGATGTGGTTGTAAAGACTACAGCTTGAAAATCTTTTGAAAATCCTCAACAATCAATCGGAAAAGAAAAAAAAATCCCTAGTTAGGATAATCTTAGGAATAACCAGAGGCCTTAGGTAAAGTTTCCCTTGAAATATTTTCTGTTGCAGAGACTAAAAGAAAATAAAGCTAGTACTGCTCTAGGGGGAAACAATCAGGATTTGAGGATTTTTTAAAAAAGATGAACTTAAAGTCAGTCTACAGGGTTGCTTCTTTTGCTGCGGTTATTTTGGATTAGCATACACGTCACAGTTCTGCTGAGAACACCACCCGGCGTTCACGTCTGTAAGTTTACTCTAATGCTAGCAGTGCTGCAGAGATGGATGGACAGAGAAAGAGAGCAGGGGGAGGTGAGAAAGGCTGGGAAGACATCATTATGAGATAAGCCTATGGTTTCTTCGTTGTTTTTCTTGTTGTTTTTTTAATATCTGAAGCTGTGTGCACTTCTGTTTTTATAATCTAACATTACATTTAGAAAAACAGAACAAAACAAAAAAGGAAAGAAAGCCAAAACCAAACACACTCTTTCTGTCCCTGCCTTGGGGCTATTATGGACATGGATGCACAGAACACTGCACTTCTTGTTTAAACCAGGAAGGCTAGCAGTATAGGCATATAGGTGGCACAATTCCACTAAAAGGCTTTTAAAACTTTTTCTTTTTTTTTCTTTTTTTCTTTTTTTTTTTTTTTTACACCAGCAAAAGTAACCAAAAGAAACAATAAATAGAAGGTGCTAAAGTTAGCATTAATAATTTGTTTGCAATATACGGACAATCTGGGGATCCAAATCCTCAAGCTCTCCTGATACTACCAGGTCTCTGCAAACTATGAAGAGAATACATAAATAACTCAAAATATGATCGAGGCTGTGAAAGGCTTTTTAAACTAAGACAATATGATCCAGGTTAACTTTTCTTTTTTTTTTTTTAAAAACACAGTGAATATATGAATCATCTACACCTGAATAAAACATGTTTAACAATAAAAAAACATGTTTAACAATAAAAAAATTAACAACCACAGAAAACAAACTTTAAACAAAAGTGAACATCGTTTGATTTCAGGGCACACAAAAGCCCTTTGCAGTAGCTTCCAGCAGTGGCCTTATTGTTGTGTCTCCTACAGATGCATAAAATGCAGTTCAACTCCACACTGACGCGATGGCCGACAGGGCAACATAGTGATCACATACAGCAAAATGCCACACCCTGGTCACGACAATACAACCCACTGCAGTTTCCATCCTGTGCAGGAACAGCACATAAGATGTCATTCTGTCACATATTATTCAAAAGCTACTTTGTGGCTACAAACCACACTAACCTTTTTGTTAGGTAACCTCTGAATAATGGGAAAGCTTTGGGTTTTATAGTTTTACTTCCTTGTATTTAAATTTTTAAATGACAAGGTCACTAAAACTCATGCACGCTGCAAAAAACGTCATGCAGTAGTTAAGGTAAACCATCCAAGCATTTTTTATTCATTAATATTCATAAATACACACAGCAGCTTCATTAGAGATTTTTCATTTTTTCCTCTTCAGTTTGAATGTGGAGTATTAGGAGAGCCTTTTGCATGTCAAGGTACAGGACACAGAGCCTTTTGCTCTGCACCGCAACCTACATTTACCTGCTAGAAGTAAAAATTAGTTAAGTGGAAATGATTATCATATATATCTTTTCTCTCTTTCTTTTTAATGTACACAACGTAACAAGAGTGACAGACCTGAAATTACAATCACCAAAACAAACCCAAGATAGTTGTTGTCCACTTTCATTGGCAAATACAGCACAGAGGACATTGTCTGCAAAGTGGGATGTCATCAAAGAGGAGGTGGAGGAGGCTCGTTTCCTTTATTACTCTCTTTTAAATTTAGGTTTTCTAAAGCAACATCTAGAGGCATAATATCTACACAGCCCATAGCACCAAAATCGGCAATTTCCCCCCTCTCATCCTCATCTGAGGAGGAACTTTCTTCCTGCATCAAAGTGGACAGTAGAAGCTCTTGAACAAACAGGCTGCGGTCTGCCCGCTCGCTTTCCATTGACTGACGCTCTGCTTCCGACATCTTCGGATCATTCAACCTGTGTGGCAGCAGGAAAAGGAGACAGGCAGTTGGTGAAAGCCCGTTTCTCTGATGACACGTGCACTCAGAACCCTATCCCTCAGGACACGGTTGTTGGCCCTTCTCACACACAGCTCTGCACACCTCTGGCAAACAACCCCCTGCCCAGTCACTGCAACAGCCTGCACCAGAACAAACCCTAAAATAAATACAAAACCATATGCAAGGGTCCCTGCTACATAAGGGAGTCTTTTAGGGAAGGTTGATGTAATTTCCTACATACCTGTTATGGCCAGGTCAATGTCTAGGTTTACATATGTGACAGAATACATAACTCTGTGTGTACTACCTACAGATTTCCACCAGACAATACAATGTTAACAGTCCAAACAAAGCAGAGTATGTAGAGTATGTTAAGAGATTTGATGAGGGATCTGGCAGAAGGCCCCCGCCTGAAGTAGGTTACACAGCTAAAACTCAAAAACAGCCTCCTTTTTAAGGCTTGCAGAAATCCATATTCACATCTAACTGTTTAAATACATTCACCTCTTAAATACATTCCTAGGTGCAGAAAAAATATACAAAGCAGTTGTGAGTTTGTCTCTCCTTTCTGCAACCTTTAGGGCACTAAAGGCCAGCTCCCAAAGTTGGCTTTCCAAATGCAGAGTAATTCCCATCAGGTCACCTATGAACTGCTACTCTTGGATATTAAATTACTACTAGAAATGTGGATTACGCAAGTTCTAGTGAACATTTAAATATGAACATCCAATTACATGTAAATACAAGGGGAAAACCTCCAAGCACATTTCTTATAATCACAATATACAAAGTCTCACTGTACTCCGACTCTAGCAGGACCAAGAGTGAAATGCTGAGAGATGTATACTGAAGTAGACAGAACAAGTTACCTTGTAAGAAGAAACTGGGAATTCTGGATAGTCTGCTGACTGTTTTCCGTGTTAGATGTGTTGGTTGTTGTTGCAGATTGTGTAATAGTGGTGTTGACATTGATCGTGTTGGTGCGTCTAGTTGCATTGCGTGCAGTCTCCAGTTGTTGTCTCGCTGCTTGTGCATGTTGTCGTTCCAACTGCAGTTGCATCTGCAGCTGCTGTAACTGAGAAGCAGAAGGGCTAGAGGAATTGATCTGTCCTCCTGCAGAACGCCTCACGCCTGATAACTGAGATAAAAGCTCTGCCAGAGAAGAGAAAAGTTTCTGTGATGAAATATCTTAAGTGACTATTACACAACAGAATGAATACATCCTGAATTCCAGGGCATCAATTCATTTTTTTCCATCAAATGGAAATGAAGTACAAATTATGTTAGAAAAGTCATGAAACTTTTCTAGAAAGTCTCAGTGTTCAATGTTTCAAAGCATAAGGAAGATGCAGATTTGTTACAACAGGTGAGCCAATCTACAAAGAGTGTCTGGCAAATGATGCCTTCTGCAGCAATTCTCTGAAGCTCCACATCACAACATAGCAACTGACTAGGAAAATATTTCATTTTGGCTTTTGTTAGTGATTTTATTTTTCTCTCAACAACCACACCCCCAAAACACAGGTTTTACCATCTAACAACCCAAAGGGAAGATAAGCTCTGTAAAAGAAATACCACACCATCACTTCCAATGTTTAGTAAAAATTATTTTGTTATGAAAACTTATTCAAGATCTGCCTCACAAAGCCACTGTCCACTTCTGCCTGAAGTTAGGGAAGGCCCAGCAATTAAGGAGTACAACCATAAGTCTTCCCTTCAGCAGTGGGTTTAGAGCAAATACTTGCTCTTTGAAATTAAAACCAGCAGTAAACCACTGCTCGGGGTGTCACAGCAGAATCCCTTAGGCGTTTCTTTGCTGTAACAGAATTACGAGGGCTGCACCTAAAGTAATGCTTCCAATTTTATTATTCAGTCCACCATGTCAGTGGGCAGATGTCAGCAACAAGACAGCAGAGGTTGAACCTTCCCAACTATACTCCATTACATTTTGTTCTGGGTGACAGATGGCAAAAGGGCAGTCTGACAGAATGATGCCTGACATGGAGGTGCCAATGAAGCAAAAAGCGTGTAATTGAATTCCTCCATGTGGGAAAAAACAGCACCCACTGACATAAACTGACACTTGGTGAACATTTATGAAGATCAAACTGTAGATGTGAGCACAGTGAGGCAGTGGGTGGTAGGTTTCAGCAGTGGCACAGCAATGTAGAAGACAAGAAATGTTCAGAACTGCTGTCACACCACAAAATGAGGAGTCTGAACCAGCTCATCCCCATGAATCAGCAGGTTACAACAAGGGAGCGGGCTACAGAGCTGAATATCAGCTTCAGTGCACTGGAAACAGTGGTGGCACACTGGAATATCACAAAGTCTGCAGCAGGTGGGCCTCACGGCTGCTCATGCAGGAGCAGAAAGAACAAGCCAGAACCTCCTGAAACAATATGAGGCTGAAGGTGGAGGTTTCCTGGGTCACATCATTACTGGTGATGAGATGTGGTGTCACCACTGTGGGCCTGAGTCAAAACAGCAGTCCACAGAGGGGTGATGTGAGTTCCTCGTCAGAGAAAACATTCAAGGTGAAGCCCTCACAGTGGGTAAAGTAATGCACGCTGTTGTTTGGGATAGCAAAGGGCTCCTGGAACTGGAACAAACCGTCAGCTTTGATCACTAAGTCGCAACACTGACTAAGCTGAAGGCTGGAACATCCAGAGTCAGGTCAGAGAACAGACAACCTTTGTTTTGCAACACAATAATGCCAGGCCCTAAAGCACTTTGAAGACCACAGAGCACGTTGCCAATCCTGGCTGGACTGCCCTACAACACCCACCAACTAGTCCAAATTTGGCCCCTTTTCACTTCCATCTGTTAAGGCCAACGAAAGACTGACTGCATAGGCAACATTTTCTTAGCAACAACACTGTGATAGCAGCTGTGGAACAGTGAATCATGTCCACTGGTGTAG